GTTTTGGGGGGGGGGGGGCCCTCTCCGACTGCGTGTCTTCCTACACCACAGAATCTAGAAAAGAAAAATGAGCCTGGAATGCTGTGCCCTCGCAAAAAGTCAGTGTTGGATCGGGCGCCAGGGTCACTGTGCCCGTCAAGAAGGCTGTTTCTGATGAGAAAGGGCGGCAGCGTGGACATATGACATTCACGGTTTTAGGTTGCTCACCGGAAGACCTCTCCCGGGCCCCTGGGATTGCCGTGTTGGCACCAGCTTCCCTCTCCTCTCTAACGCATGGGAGCTGATCTCACGCCTGAGTTTTGTGCTTGTCAACCCACGGGCTTCTGTCTGCGGAGTGACCCATCACAGGCCTTCTGAATATAAAACGGCATTTACGTCTGATTGTGAGGAATCGCAGAACGGGCCGTGTACCTTTCAACCTGGAGATAAGAGCAAAGAAGCCACCGAAACCGTCGGCGACAATCTGCCATCAGGGAGGGGGATGGAATCAGAAATACAAATAGGGGTGACCCGGTTTGTACCGGGCGGCACGACCTACGCCTCCCAGGATCTCAGGAAGCAGATCAGAGAAATTGCCCTTCGGACGCCACTGGGTTGTGCCCCAAAACAAGATCGTCTTCACGCCCCTTGTCTCCCGCACCGCTTCAGGACGCACCACGCTACCAGCAAAGATGGCGTCGAGGCCTTGCAGTCCATGGCTGCACAGGAATTGAGGTCGGTGAGGTGCATCTTCTCCGGAAATTCACATCGAGTACCGTGGGGCAGTAACACGGAAACTGGGCAGAGCCCTGCTGATGCAAGAGCTCCAAACCCTGCGGGGATTCTAATCTACATACTGCGAATAAACCCAAAATGGAAGAAGTGGCCATCACATGCAACGCAGTGTAGGCGTGGCAGCTGTTAGCTGTTCTGCATGCTTGGATGTGGCACTGATGGCGAATTAAAATGGGCGAAGGTCAGGCAATCCAGAAGCAACACCTGAAACCACCCCCTGCTTCTCCCACCTACCTCGAAGGCCAAGAAGCAGAGGCCTCCAGCAAAAACCATCCAACCAAAGTTCTTTTCGCCAAGAACAAATTTCTTGACGGGATCATCCCCTCCATCAGCAGCAGCAGGCCCTGCTCTTCCAGCGAAGACAGCAAACCCATTTTAAGTTTACAGTAGGCACTGTCTGCCATTGACAACCTTCAACTTTTGATGCAGTTTATTCTCAAAAGGGAAGTTTACACCAAACTCAAGAGGAAAAAACATAACACTGCATAACTCACCTTCAATTTCTTGTTGAGTTTTTGGCAATACCTGTAGAGCATTGCCAAATTCAGCGGTCCGAAATCAGCATAAAAATTCTCGTACACCAATTCATCATCCACACTGAAGTAATGAGTGTTAGCCGTGGACTTCGGTTTAACTGTTGTTCGAAGCGTCACGAAGTACAGGCGATCTGAAACGAAGGCAAAATAATTTAAATGTTTAATTCGTTGGAACGGGAAATAGCTGTGAAATGGGATTCTTGACGCAGCGTTGAGGGCAAAAATCCAAACACTGTCACTCGGGAACAGTAAAGTTACATTTTCAAATAAACCGCGCTAGCATCTTAATTGCAAGCCTGTGACAATAAATATGCCACTGTTAAGAAAAGTACCCGATTTCCCTAACACGCCGTATAAATACATATATCAACTACAAACGACAGGACAAATCGATAACATTATCTCTGGAAAATGTAAACACTTCCATGGTATATTACTACTGGAAGTGTGTCCATTGGTTCGGTTAAGTTGAGGAGTGTTTAATTATCGAACTTTAGAAATGCAAGTAGTGCTTGGGTGGTTAGCACTCCTGCTTTGTACTCAGAAAACAACTATCCAGTCTTCCTCAGTCCCTCCAGGCAAATGCCAGGACAGCTCCTTAAATTAGGCCACGACCACTTCTATAACAATTCATTACTTGCTAATCAACCGATCACTCAACTCCACGTAATCTGAGCTACTGACAGTGTCGTTAAATGGATCAGAAACAAACGAAGAAAACCAGAATCAACTTAACTGAAAAACCAACAGTGTTAAAGGTGAGGAGATGGAGAAATGTCCTAGTGATAGCCGAAAATGGGAGTGTTCAACTCTTGCTATGGTATTACTTAATGAAAAACATTTCTAGTGCCATATGATATTTGAGATTCTTACAGAGGTGAAGATGTCTTCTGGGTAGTAATGATATGCGGACTTTTAAGGGGCCCATACACAACACCAGCCTGTATATGCAAACAAGGGACTGCACAAACATTTGTACTGTGTCGTGGTGAATGACTGATTACACAAGCAGCTTGCCCGATATCAAAAGGTTTTGACATTTCTCAAGCAATCATGAACTTGCACATACACGTTTGTGACATGTATGTCGATACTTGCGACAATACCTGGAAGTACACATTACACTAACAAGCCATCACTGAAAGATTACCTTTAAAGTAGGATTTGAGGTTCTCATGGAGTGAGTACGAAGATGGCCGTCTTCTGGGTTGTAGCACCACGTAGTCTGGTAGATGTCTATGAAGCTTTCAGAGGTCCTTGCTGCCTCCACCATCAGGGAAATGATCACTACGATGGCGGCGGCAAGGACCTCTGAAAGCTTCATAAACATCTACCAGAGCACACTGCGCTCCAACCCAGAAGATGGCCATCTTATAGATTATCTTTTGTCTCACTCATACAGAAAGATTTGCTTCAATTGAAAGTTGTTAAATCCTGTAAATATTTATGTAAATAGAAGCAACAAGTGTAAGTGTTCACATTAATACATCTCCCACATCCTTGGCTTGAACTATGAAGAATCTATGGAAAGTAAATCAATTCTAATTCAACGAGTATTAACAGAGTAAATAAAACATTTGGTCAGAAGCTCTCTATCTTTACTTGGTACATAAAACGTGGCTTATACAAAATAATAATAAAAGGCTGCAGAGTAGTCTAGTCTGAAAATGAAAGGAAATCAACCACAGGTCAAACAGAGAGATGATGGCTAAGCAAGCCGAATCACTCGTCGAAAGTCACTTCAGACAGTTCAAAACGATTCTGAACTCAACTCTGTGAAATCCATTCAGCAAATGAATGTTGGCAAAAGTGGCTGGTCCAGCATTCAGGCTAGCCTAATTCACACAGTCACTTGTTTCTGCATGCAGGTCAGTGTCACATATTTGGGCAGATGGCAATGTTTCAGAGAGAGAGAAAGAAACTGTCTCCACCTTCAGGGCACTGAGACACTGGTACCTAGCCAGATGACCGACATCCTGGGCTCTCATTTGTACTGCCCGTTCACTTTAGTATATCACGTACTGCTGACTGAACTACAATAAACTTCAACTGGAATATTTAAGAAATATGTTGCCCAGACAGATAAAATACACCATCAACCAATGATTATGCACGTGCATGGTAAATAGAACATCTGCAATTGAACTATAGTTGCTCCATCTTTAGAAGTACTTCATTCATATTCTCAAATCTTGTATTTAATGTACATTAGTATGTCTGTAATTACAATGATTCTAACTATTTAAAATGGTTTTGATTTACCAATCAGGAAATTTAAAAATATAAACATTTTTTGCTGAAATGCAGCAAAGTAGTTATCCATCATTTTAGCATGAAAGTTTTTTACAGTTACCCCAAATTGTAAAATATTTGCAAATAACTGTGCTGTAAACTCACTTTGATTATTTACATCTTTTGTTTTGCTCACTACATTACAATTTTTTAAACTGAAATAACATCAAATTAAATTAGGCCAAACTTAAAATTTAAATAAATGTCAGCTTCTAGTATGTGTATACTTTTCTCATTCATTGTAATATTGCTAAGCTGGTGTTGTATTACATTACTCAAATAACAAAGAAACTATAAACTCAAGTGAAGTGATTTTGTGATAGAACCCAAGTGATTCTTAAGTAAAATATAGTATAGTAAATTTATATAAAGTGTTATGAATTACAATACATGTATCTAAGGGCAGTATTTTTCAAGTGTAATAAAACAACTTGTCACAAATAATTCTCAACTGATAAAGCCCTTTTCAATTTTACAGATGAAATCATATATGCTCTTAATAACAAAATTCATGCTAGTGGAATATATCAGTGATATTTCTAAAAAATTTGATCATGCAAGTCATGAATTATTACTGTTAAAACTACATTTTTATGGAATTCAAAATATGGCTGGTCAGTGGTTTAAATTGTACCTTTATGATAGAAGGCAGCAAGTAGAAATACAATCATCAGATTCAAATAATAGCACCTATTCAAATTGAAGTATCAGAAAACACGGGGTTGCTCAAGGTCCAATTCTTCGTCCTCTGCTTTTCCTCATATATAACAATGATTTACCACCAACCATTAATTCTCTGTCTATACCCATACTTTTTGTGAACGATACTAATATTATTTCACGTCCAGAAACTGGCTGTTTCCAAATTTGAATGAAAAATGTCTTTCCTAGCTTAAACAAATGGATTAAAACCAATAAACTCACATTAAATTTCGACCAAACAAATTTAATGAAATTTTTTACCACCAACAAAAATGTTGTTATCTAAGTACAGAGTATGAGGATAAAACAATTGAAGAAGTAGAAAGAATTAAATGTCTTGGTCTATAAACTGCCAATAACCTAAAATGTAAAAAACATATTCAGTACATTACCCCTAAGCTAAGCTCAGCATGCTTTGCTATAAGGGCAGTCACATCATTCACACAAAAACTTTAAAATTAGTCTATGTTGCTTACTTCCATTTGATCATGTAATATGAAATTATTTTCTGGAAAAACTCAACAGACAGCAAAAAGGGATTTTACATTCAAAAGAGGATAATTAGAATAATATCAGGCACTAAAGGGAGAGCCTCATGTAGGGAACTGTTTAAGAAATTTAATATTCTTCCACTAGCCAGTGAAATCTTGCTCTCATTATTATCATTTGTAGTGAAAAACATGGAAAGATTTCAAACAAACTCAAATATCCACAATATAAGAACAAAATACAGATATAACCTTCATATGACACATACTAAACTCAGTAAACATCAAAAATGAGATTACTATACTGTAATAAAGCTATTCAATAATCATCCCCCACTATAAGAAGTCTAACTGAAGATATAAAGAAGTTCAAGCCACCACTAAAAGAGTACCTCCAATATCGCTCCTATGCCGTAGAAATTTATCTAAATGAAAAATTTTCAGCTATTAAAACTACGTGTCTGCAATAGTGTTAATGCTTTCTTGTGTAATTATTTCTGCAGTAATAATGTAGTTGACTGTAAATTACTGTCACGAAAACAAAATTTATATTTGTATTAGAAATAAGTATTATATTTATACTATGGCATGTTCTACAACCTTAGATTTTTAATGTGTAATCTAGACAAGGATTATTTCCCTAAACAGCATTGCTCTGTCGATTACTGTACCGGTGAAGTGTGGTGTTTTCTTTACGGCAGACTAAATTCTTAAATGCTGTTTAGGCAAGCTTCGGCTTCACAGGGTGAAAGTGCACCTGTGTAATACAATAAGCAGTTTTGTTAGATAATTTTGTATTAGGTCACCTTAATGCTAGTAACCTAAATTTAATGAGAGTATAATTATGCCAGGTCTAGTAACTATAGATAAAACCTTATGTAGTAAACAACTGATTTGATTTAAAAATGTGATTTAATTAATTATGAGTTAAGAAAATTACACAAATCACTCAGTTCAGTTCAATCATTCTTGGCCATAACATTTCATGGGATCTTACAAAAAACAAACTCGCCACCACCATGTTTACATATGGAACTAAACTGTAAAATCATGCACAAATTGTCTTGCAAATTTGACTTTTTCAAATGCGAAAATCAGCATACCTTTAACATATTCTGATGCACACACCAGAACTTCATTGCCTTCATCCATGTTAAATGCTTTATTCACTCCTTTTCATACGTAAATTTGCGAAATATCAATCCGTAAAATCACATTTCACTTCACTCTTTCTGCTAAAATAATAACTGCCACACTTTCAAGTACGATCACATATGACTGCCCGTAATGGCACTATACAGATACAATTTTCGTGTCCTTTTCAAATAATGCACAGAATATCAAGCCACTTGCCGTTCATTCGAACGAAGCACGAACATTTCGATTTTTAATACATACTCGAATATAAAATCATTTTCAAGAACGCTGCACAATTTTATTACATGTACAACCAATTAATTTGTAAATTACACAGTAAAAATTAGATGATTTGATCAATTCCAATGATTTCCATAATATGCATGATCTTCCGTAGTTTATTTGACAATAATTCGGATTTGCCGGGAGATCAAAAGTAGGCGTACGGTATTGACGTCGCACAAACTTCTTTTTACAAACACCTGGTAGCATACTACAGTAGTGAAATTTATACCGGATTAATGTCTTCTTATAGTTGCCATAGCTCATAAACTCTCTGATTTTACCAATACGACATCAATCATGCATCCCCATACAACACATAACTCAACTAAACTGCCATGTCTTTTCAATGTATACAAAAATCACGTGGGATCTCGCAGACCAATCACAAGCGACTCAGTTAACGGACTCCTCCACAGACCTAAATGACCTGCCCTCTGTTATTAACTGACACAATGTTATATTCCCATTCCTTACGCTAAAAATAGGATTTATGGGCTATCAAAAGGATTCTAATTGATGCCTCAAATTAAAATACTTTTTTGTAGTTACTGCGATATTTAAAATTATTACAGTTACCTCAATTAGTCTAAATTTAATTTCTTATTTTTTGCGTTGTGCGACATCTATCAGAAGTGTACGTAAATTTTGCTTGTGTTCCCAATTGCAATTGTCTGAATTAATGCCACGATCTTGCGACGAAGCGATGATGTGACGTACAATGCTATCATTCACAGTGGTATGGTTCAATACAACAGAAACCCCATTTCCACTTGGTGAGAACAATTCCGACCGAATTTAGTTGTTTAATAGTAAAGTTTTTCGAAAACTCTCAAACCAAGTCAGTTTCAATTCGATGGGATAACTTTAACCAACACCTTGAATAACACAAATACTTCAGGAGCAAATCTGCGAAAATAATTGCATGAATTGAATTTTTAGCTCACTTGGATAAATACGAAATGCAAGTTGCATAATTCTATATCAGCTTAAGCTACTTTAATAAACATTCATTATAGTATTAATAGAAATGCAATTGTGTGATGTGGGAACCAACTTAGTTTTAAGGATGGGCTATTAAATTCTTATCACAAGAAACTGAAATCCGCTAATCGTATGATTACCAGTTTATTACATGTTCTTTGTCTTACTGTATTTATGAAAGTTAATAACATACAATACTAAATCACAATTACAAACAGGAAACCAAATACATCACTGATGTGATAAATATTTTACTGCCTGCAATACTGATTCAAACACCACACTCTGTTACCTTCGGCAGACTCAGCGTCTTCTTTCTCCTGACGTTACCACCAATAATTTTGACCTCTTCTAACAGGGGGTATGCTGTACAGAACACATATATATGTATATATAAATAAGTGGTGTTACCTAATGTCCAACTGCTTCAAGACCAGCAGCCAGCAACTCATTTATGTTGAAGATGGAGAAACATATGCCAGGGGTGACTAGTTAGTAGAATGAATGCTGGGGTGAATTCCTCAGCACCACTGCCCACTAAGAAAAGAAACTTCACAAAAGGGTGTAGGAGGGACAGATCAACCTTGCTGCGTTACACTATTTCCGCAGACAGAATACATAGCTGAAATATTTAAACAGTGCCTTATGAACCATAAATGGGGATGTGCATATACTAACTGGATAGTAATCTTGGCTGAAGACTAAGCTATTGCTGCTGCCAGGTGAATGAGCCCTTCAGGTAACTTATCTTGGTTGGATGGATGCCTTGAGGTTTAACCCAGAAGGATCTGGATAGCTTTGGTTTAAGGCATCTGCAACTTGGGGGAGGAATCATTTTGTTCTGAAATTTTACCTTCCAACACATCTCAGTATCCATTCACAATTAACAATGATTCAAATGTGAACTACAAGTATGCAACGACAGTCAATACCTGAAATTATTTGCAGTGAGAGAAAGGATATGGACATCACTACTTATCCACATCCCACTATTCCATCCAAGGCCGGCATGAGTTGTGAGCCAAAATGCCACCTATCACCAACCCTGAAATTAAGACACCCAGTGCTCAATGCCAGAAGAAATCGTCACAAGAATCCATTATCACCCTATTAAATCGCCTGTTACTCATAACCCAACAATGCCATTGACACCAACTCATCAGAACTGCCGTACTCTGTCGACTGGAGACAATTTAAAGTGGTCAGGTACTGCAAGTACATCCCCCAATAGCCTGTTACGCTGTAAATAACTTGCTTATATTCCTTTCATACACATCTTACTGTAATAATTATCAAGCACATTCACCAACATCTTAGGCATGGCCACTGACATTAAAAAACATACACCATAAAGGATAACTATAACTCTTGCAATATATCTTCTACATTTTTTCAAACAAAAACTGATATATTGTAAATTATTGTAATTACTAATAGCTTTGTAATGACCAGTCAATAAACAATGTGATTTTAACACTGTAAGGACATTATGTTCAATGAAGTATGTTTTTACACAGATTATATATCAGAGTGAATCATTAACATTCTTAAAATTAGAGACTATCTCCTTTGTAGCAAATGTCTGTCAGTGCAGAGAACTATAAACAGTTATTCAACCACAAATATATTTAAAAATGTCTGTTAAAATTAAACATATTTTGTCACACACTTTCATCATGTAACAGCTAAAATGCAGATTTTACAATAAAGCACAAAGAGCCTACAGCAGACAACAAAATAAATGTAGTGCTTTAATAATTTTTAACAAGGTGTAGAGGGCAGATATTTGCATATCAGAGGACAGAAGAAACAACTTACGACACAGCTCAATTAAGTACCTCATATGCATGAATTATCTATATTTATCAAAATTGTTTACAATTCAACGTTAATTTTAAAAACACATTCTTTAACATTCTAAGGAATGATCTAATTGAAAGAGAAAAATCTAAACAAAAACTCACTACATCTGCTTATTCAGTTTATCACACTAGACTAATGGGGCACTACATGACAGAACCATACTTCAATAGCTACATTACACCAACAATTTACGCGCCTTCACTATGATATTTCATTCGGAGAACTCACTCAGTTTGTAAACAACCATCTCCTGAAACTTGCTGTTAATGCCAATGACTAGACCATGGACAAAGTTAGCTTACTACAAGTACTCTCACACACTGCAAAGTGCAAAAACTGAAAATTCAGTATTTTAATGTTACTTTCACATAAGTAACTTTTTTAGTTTTTAAAATTATGTTTGGCAGACTGGGCAGATGGAAAATCAACCCTTAAATATAATGAAAATTATACTGTTCATATAAAAATAAATTCAGCTCATTTCAAGTTTCTTTTTCAGTGCACATTAATGTTCTTTTGAATTATCTACATACTGTTAAGCGATATAACACGGGCTTGTATCTTCAACAAATGTCAACTTCACTGCCTTCATTTATTTATGTAAAGTACATTATAACTTCATATTCATTGATCATGAATCTATCATGTTCAAAAATTAATATAATATTTCATACCTTTGTAAAGTCAAAAATTACAGACCATGCTTTTAAATCAAAATAATATAAACACAAGGAAAACTTGCTGTCTTTCCATTAGTAATACTTCTCACTGTTGACCACCCTCAGCAAAGTCTCACCACATGTGGGTCTCCCGGATCTCACTGATGATGTGTCCAGCTTGCTGAAGAGCCTACAGAAACAACAATACAACATACAAATTTTATGCAATTGAACTCATTTGATAATTTTTCTGAATTAGCCTTTCAGTGATTCAGACTGTGAAGCACTAACATGTGAGCATACGTTTTGCTGTATTGTTCAGATGCCCTGGATGAGTGAAAAGTTTTATGTTTCAGAGTGGCGCATTATTTATACAAAGCAGCACATAAAAATAATACTAAGTAACATTGTATAACAAAATACTAATATCATTAATTTTCTTTGTTTAATTAAACAATGTAATACAATTTCATGTACTGTGAACACGGAGATTATAATAACTGTTGCATGTTGTAGTACACATACAAAGGCCTTCCTGTAACAGCATTAATATGGCAACGTTTAGAATATTGTTCCACAAAGCCCAAAATCCTGTAACAACATATAATCACAACTGAAAGTGACATATAATACTCTCAAATAACTAATTATGAATGGAAAAGTAACAAAATAACCCCTTTTGAATAGAAACATAAAAAGGAAGAAACAGAGTAAATGAAATTACAAGTATAAAGAAATCTATCTGACCTTCAGCATATCAGCAGCTTCCTTGCGGCGTTGTGCGATGTGTTCCGATTCATTTAGGAGTTCTTCTGCTTGGTCTGACTTATACAAGTGAGTCACCAACTCTGACTGAAGGTTGTCTTTCACAAAGTTGACTAAAAAATGCATCACAGCTTTTGGAACGCTATCCTGGATTGACTTGCGCACAATGTAGAAATATGACTTTATTAGTCGCTCTGCAGAAAATAAATGCAATATAAACAGATGAAATATGGCAACTTCTTAAGGTCTTCATTACAGACAGTCATTAATATGTGGCTATACTGAATGTCACCAAGTAATTATTAATTTGCCTTAATTCACTGATTCAAAAGTGTGGCCATAGAAATTTTGGAAGTATGAACATCAGATGATTTCATGAATAACACAGAAGTAACAGAATTTAAGTTGCCCACTATTTTTAGTCTTAAATTTACATTATTTCAGTATGTTATTTAATTCAAACTATGCTCATTCTTCTTAGGGGACAGATTATGAAGTTTCACAACTACGAAGACTAGATCTAGAAATGCATACCTATAACATCACAGTCACGCTGCTCCCTTTCAGACAGCTTCCTGCTTGTCTGCATTGGAACTTCTGGCAGCAAATTTACAGGTTTCTGCGGACTAAGCACACCTTTCCCATCGCTCTGATGTGTCGGTGTGACACTTGGTGAGTCTTCTGTATATCCCTCCTTTTCTGGTCTAATACCAGGGAAATAGTTTGACAAAGATGCTACTACATTTGTGACCTGTTCATAGTTGTATAGATTAACTGCGTGGTTCTGAAAAATATAAGGATAAAATGTATGCACTCATTAATTTATAAGATAATCACAGTAGTTCAGACACGCTTAGATAAGCAACAAATAAGGCACAAATCTTCCTTGAAACAGGGAACCATGAAAATTTAAATGTGAACACACGTTTGGGTGAAGCTAATTTTGCTGGTCCTTTATTACTCAAATGACAATTATGAGTGTCATACTAATTTCATAACATATATTGTACTTCTCATTATACTGTAAATTTAAACATTACATTTTTGGAAAAGCTGCTTATACTCTTATGAGATGTAACATTCAGTTTATAAAGACAGAAACTGTAATGATTGTTTTTATTTTGACTGCCAAAACAATTAATATAAACCTACATTAATTTGAACAATTCTCTAAAAATGAATTTAATCTAACCTACCTTTGGCACATCTCTTTCTGCATCCCCTACAAGTGAAGATGAGGACTGATTCACATGAAGAGGAAGATTATGTCTTTTGTTGACTGGTCGCTGGGGTCTTCCATCTTCCTCCACGGATTTCAGGAGGGAAGAAACCAGGGCTGCATCTTTGTGGAAATCAGGGTGTTTCGTGTTTATGTATGCCAACTCGATAGCTACCAAATTCTCCACCTAAGAAATTAAAATATGTGAATATAAAAAGAGTTCACAAGGACAAGGAAAAGTTTGATAAAGTAACAGAACCTGTCAAACTTCAACACAGTTTATTCTTGTGAACATTAACATTTGTTAATGTTATACATCTGTATGTCTAGTGACTTCACATCAGTGCATCAGAATCTTAATCCTGAGGTCATTTCAAGACAGAAATGGTATATGAACATGAATTTGACTCTAAACAGTTACTGATATTTGTCACAGATGTTCTCAACAAATTCAATTCAAAATTCTTTACTGTCCAAACATAACACAGAACTGCTGTGTGGTAACTAAAGTAATCATGAAAATTAAAACATAAAATACCAGACAATACATTACCAATAGCAATAAGTCTTATGTCACTACAGAGACCTAAGGGTCCCAACATTTACATATAAAAAATTTGCTGTTACCATTGTGTTTGTTGTGGGCAAGCGTCTCCTCAATAGATGAGTAACAACATCAACAATTCGTTCATGCAGTTTAGGAAAGCGTAACATTTCCTGCTGCACCTCTGTACCGCAGTGTTGAATAATTCGCTGCATTTCTTCATGAACCAACTCCACACACCGCAGTGACGGTTCCTCAAGGCGGCGGATTTGCCGTTTCACGAGCAATTCAAATGAAACCTAAAATAGCATACTTCTTTGTAATATACAAACAGGACTTCCTCGAACAACTGAATCGGGCCTCCCTGACATTGATAAAAACATGCTGACGACAGCTGCTAGCGGCTTACACGTCATATGGGCCACTCACACAGCTGTTACTGCGCAGCTCATGAGAACAGTACATGAAGGTGTTCCTGACCCAAAACTTACATTTTTCACTAATGAAGCTTGGTTCCATCTGAGTGGGTATACCAATACTCGAAACAACAGGTACTAGAGCGATATTAATCTGAGACAGACTTTTGAAGTGCCCCTTCATGATCAGAAGATTGGTGTGTGGTGTACCATTACTGCTTCACAAAGAGTAGGACCTATATTTTTTGAAAACACTATTAATTCCGACCGTTATGTCACTGATATTCTTAGGCCCTTTTTTGAGAGTATTACAGAAGAATAAATGACATATGGTTATTTTATGCAAGATTGTGCTACAGCACACATGCTGCCACTTATTCCATTAATGTTTTAAACTAAGTGTCTAAAGACAGACTGATAACTCGCAGGTTGTGGCCTGCAGGGTCCCTAGACTTAAATCTGTGTGATTTTTATCTGTGGGGAAGTCTAAAAGACAAAGTGTATTCAAATAATCCCCACACATTTGATTAAGTTAATAAAATCATTCGTGAAGCAATAACATCTGTCGATGTCAGTTAACTGAAACTAGTGACAAGCAATCTTTTCAAGAGACCTGAACAATGTTTAAGAGCAGAAGGTAGACATTTTGAGCATCTAATGAGATGGTGAATCTTTTAAACAAATAATTTACTTTCAGAAATGCACATATGTGTTTATAATGTGCAGCATTTCAAGTGTGAGGCAGCACTAATTTTCCTCGCAGATGTTGCAAGCATTCCACACGCACAAGCCGGAGGCAGAAGTGTCAGGCGATTCGGTCGATCGAGGAAGACCTGATATAGCAGGTGTGCACCAGGCAAAGCTAGCCAAGAAAATGTTTCTCAAATGTATGCTGACAGATTTGTGTGAGAAATGCAGATGTGGAAAGTGCTCTCATGTAACACCGAAGGAAACCAGTCATTATCAATTGTTCAGACTTCTAGTATATGGACAATTGCTGAGCAAATGCTACTTTGAGGCACTAGTTGCATAAAATATGGCAAAAGAACTTGAACACAAAACAACACTTAATCATGAAAATGCTGTTAGCATTGCCTTTAAGGGGAGAACTTGATGTTACCTTAAAAAATCTGAATAATTTTAATGGATAATTTGTAAACAACTTCAAACTATTCAATCTGCATCTTTGTGAAAATAGTGGCATAAACAAAGGGGAACTGCAGGTATTTCTATATGGAATTGGAATTTATTAACACTTGTGTTGGGCATATTAGGATATGCCATTAAAATTTTGTTCAGGAATAGAAAAAATTAAATAAAGTTGAACTAATATGAGAAGAATGATGGCACAATAAAGGAGTGCATTATGGATCCTGTTTGGCCTAATGTAAGAATAAACTAGCTCTATGAAAAGTAATTTTTAGAATTTTCAGGCATACTATTTTAACTCCCATTAGACTAATAACACTAATAACCGAGTAAGAAGTTGGCAAGTGACCTACCAAATCACCATCAATTTATGGCTGCCTATCACATGCCCCAGATTCTGAAGCTGTATTGTTTAAACAATACATTTTGGTTACTGTAAGCCTAAACAAAGAAAATGTAATTGTAGTGCTAACAACAGGTTGTGACAAACTCCCAACTTCTGATTATTTGTATTATTGTATTACTTGTAAAGAAATCAGAAGAATTTTTACTGAATGAGAAAGTGTTTTATTTTACATAATTTTTTTTCAATAAAAGTCTTAACAAGCTCCCAATTCAATGCAGGAGAAAAAACAACTATATCATGCAGTTTAATATAATGCAAGACTACTGACCTAAATACAATAATACTGTAATGTATATTTTAAACTTATGAACTAAAACAGATATTTATGGATTATCAATGAATTTTAATTATTTATCGAACCTCCCCCGGAAATGCACCGTACACAATGGACAATTTAATAACTACAAGAAGAATTCATACCTCAGGGACAAATAATGCTGGCCTTGGTCCAGTAGCATTCCTAATAGCTGTTAAAATATCCATTTTTGTGAGGCCAGCAAGAGGATGAATTGAGTCTAAAGTCCTTCCAAATGTTTCATGAAATATATAACATATCCTGGCACCTCCGCACCTACACGAAAACCACACGTATTAATGGTTAACAACAATGTAATCTACAATAATACAGAATCCATAAAGCTGAAAGAAAATTAAAATCTGAATACGAAATAAAACAGGGGTCAAGAAAAAAAATTGAAGAAAGCAGCAAGGAGAGAAATACAATGTTTACTTATATTCATACTTTCATTTGTGACAAATTTGCACATTTCTATTATACTGGATACATTCTAATTTAACTCACACAAATAAGTAAGTAATCACAAAATTTAAAAACTACATTTTAGACAGTACAATGATAGTTGTAGATAATATTTATGAAGGTAAAAAACTGCATTCCAACAAATAAAAAGAGAGCGAAGCAGACAGACACGTCCCAAACACCAGTAACACTACGTAGGATCAAAATAATGGATAAAGTTGATGGAGGTCACAAACAGATATACAACTTCTGCATAAGCTTCCTGTGAGCACTGGTTAACTTGTACAAGTTGCCCTCGGCAGACTAGTGGTTAGCGTGCTCACCACAGGAACCAAAGTTCGGGCGGGGTCAAACCCGGCTGAGGTTGATGGATTTTTAAGGGTGATAAAAATCCGTAGCACAACTTCCTTCGGAGGGGAAGTAAAGCCGGTGGTCCCATGTCGTAGATTTATGGCATGTAAAAGAACCTTACGAGCATGACATGAGACATTATGTCAGCAAAATTTCAGTGGCCGTTTCTCACCCAAGTCTCCTGATACACTGCTAGATGGCAGCCAAATCAAATTTGAGTACAAATTGTGTAGAGTTACTACTCTCACTAACACTGGAACGTCCATTGGGCGTTGCCGGATACGGAAATAAATAAACAAATAATTAAACTTGTATAACACTGCAGATTTTTGGATGCAGAAATTTGGTAATGCTGCTGCTATAAATACAATTTAGTTTCATATTTTGACTTTGCTTGACCTAGCCTCTGTCAGGGGTTCAAGCATTATACATAAGTTATATTACAGTAGACTTACCAATGAAACAAAGGGATGTTCAAACAACCCCCTCCTTCACACTAAGGGGCATAACTCACCACTGCAATTTCAAGCATAAACAAACAAGAAACAAAGGGTGACTATCAAAGCAAGCTACGCAAAACCCTTCCCAAATTTCAGTTACATAAAGCGTACATGCTACAAGCATATATCATAAAATGTTCCAACAGTTCATGTCAGTGGTACTAAATCTAAGTGAACAATTTCAAAGCTGGTAGAACAGACTTATATAATTTCCAGACAAAGTACAGGTTCTACAAATACTGGTTAGTAAGGAATGAGAAAACAAATGAAGTGGAAGCAATGCTAGTGCAAGAATAGCACGCAAATTGCCAACTGAGTGGCAGGAGGAAGTGGTTACTGACCAGTGCGAAGAGACCTGAAAGACAGTATCAATAAATAGAAGAGAAAACTTGTATCCAGATAACCGAGACTGCGGTTTGTAAAGTGAGTGGAAATAATCAACAGTAATGTGTGAAATAATTCCTTCTTGTTATTAAACAATAACTCAGCATAATCACCAATTACATTATAACATATAGTAAGAACAGTAGCACATAATCATTTATCCATCATCTATGGTATTTCACCATGCATGGGTGCGCAGGGAAGAATGCACAATGAAAATGGTTATTAAGAATACACAAAAATACTCACAATTCTGTCGTTTCAATGTTTCTTGCTGTACCTTCTATGGTACAACAATATGCTGAGGCGAATTTGGTGATAATTTGTAGTAATGTTTGACTTTTATCAGACACGTCTTCCCCGTATGAATTAAGGAGTGACTGAAACTGTGACACCATGACATTCACTCTCGTCTACAAAAACAGAAAACAGTCAAATTTAGAAAGATAGCAAAGGTGAAACAAATATATATCAAAAGTGCTTATGTTATGTGTATCAAATCTTGATAACATCAAAACATTTGTTTAGTTTCATAGTGACAAACTATATTTATACACAGATCTGAAATATGACTCCTTCCTAGTAGGATCATTCAGTAATACATATCACCATAAATGCATTATTCAACATTAACACACCTACCAGTAACCTCACGCACATTTGTTAATTTTAATTTTGTTTCATAAATTAAGTCATCAGACAATATGACACTCTTTTTTTTTCCTCAGAAGGCTGCAGTCTGAGTTACAGACATTTTACAAGTAAAATAAACAATTATTACATTTTACATCAAGGTATGAATGCGACTTACCTTCAGATCTGGTAGACAATCACGGATGTGGTGCATAAGTAGTCTGTTCAGGGTTTTAGCGAGATAGGGTGTACCGTTTCTGTTGGCCAAGGTTGGATATTTTCTCTGTAGGAAAGCTGCTTCATCTTTCAAGGCATCTTTGATGCTCTAAACACAAAATCATATTTACTTAAAAAATATTAAAATGGAAATTTAATAAAACTAGCAATAATAATATTCATTACTGTACCTTATTATCCATTATGTCTTGCTGTGATCTGTTCACAATTCCAATTATTCCTAGTTTAACGGGGATCACACGCCCACACAAAATGTCAATAGCATCAGTACCTGCAGAGGGGACAAGAAAGAGTAACAACCGTTTATCAAGCGAATACACAACTTTAAAAGATGTCCTGCAGTCTTGTACTAAAAAGCAGTACAAAATCTATAAAAATCATACAGAAACGACGAAAACTGGAAAACGTTCTACGATGGATACATATGAGTCACTGTATGCCAAACAACGCCATCAACAAATTTCTATTATTTTAATTTTACATGAGCTAAAAGCTTCTCCAGAGTTTTAATTCTTATTGTGACAAAATCCCTATTTATTAATTAATGAAATAGGCAGCTTTTGACACAGCCAGGACAACGGTTTGAGCTCAGCAGAAGGCACCAGTTGGAATCGTGAATGTGAGCAACGAAGAGCAGGATCTTGCCAGAGGCACCATTGCTTTGCGGAAAAAAGTCGATTTCTCCAGTTTTTAAATGCAATTTCCAAACCACACCAAACTTTCTGGCTATACAGCAAGTACCCCTTTTTTGTTTCTCTTGAAATGTTCAGTTTTTTAGACAGCAAATGATCAGAGTTGCACTGTTCCATTCAATCCCAAGAAATGAAACTATGGCTGACCCTAAAAATACTAAGAACTTGTAAATGAGTAGTGTGGCTCGAATGCTGCATTTAGCACAAATTCACTTGCCAGTGATTATAACAAACATTATCAACACAATCACAACACTGCTGCAAGAAAAGTCTTGAAAATAAAACCCCTTCCTTTATCTAACAGCTGACACAGCACTCATAAATACTGATACAGAGTCCACTGACGTGTCTCGAGTATTCCCCTCCATAGCAGTTTGCGCTACCCAAATAAATTCTCATGCATCTACTCAAACTTAGATAAATGTGGTATTCAGAAACTTGCAGTGAATTAGGAAACTATTTCTGTACAACCAACAGACCTGCATCCATCAAGTCTAGTTTTGTAACCACGGCTAATGTTCTTCTGCCATCTGGATCACATTCTTTGGCCATTTTCAAGCTCTCACTGGTAGCCATGTCTGTGTTCGCTGTCACCACTGCCAGGATGATTGAGTTTGGATTGCTAATGTACTTCAACACGAGCTCTCGAATCTGAGATTCGATGTCTTCTGGTTGATCACCCACAGGTACCTGTAATACATGAAGCAGCGTTCAATTTTTGAAACAGGTCAACTGCTTGCTTATTTTGAAATAGAAGCCAAACATTTTTAAGCCTTGACAAAATAAGTGCTCAGACAAATTAATTCTCCACGAGTTTCAATTATGTTTTAAGTGTGTCAAATGTGCAATTTATCAGTTGCAGAATAATAATGGTTTCTTTTTAAAAACTTTCTTTAGTGATGAAACTTCCTTTACAAATGATGGCCAAGTCATCTTGAGGAACATGTATTACTAGTCTCCTGAAAACCCTTGCTGGCTTCAATGAGTCCACCATCAATAATATTCCAGTTCAAGCCAGTAAAATATTGTAAACTATTCCTCCCTTTTATGGATAAACCGAACTGTGATGGAAGTATTTTGAGAGGAGGGGCCCTTTTCAACTTATTGCTACCCCAACTTTAATGCCAATATTGGTGGTGGAGGACAATGTGTCATGCTCTAACATGGCTTCACTGTACAATTAATTAAAAAGTCATAGTATGAAGCAGGGTACTTTTACATACCTTAGTAATTCCTGGAAGGTCAACCAATGTAAGGTTCACAACACGAGTTGAATAAATCTTGAGACTAATTGGTTCTGGGCAAATGCCTTTGTTATGTCCAGCCATCCTCTCAGTTTCCCTGTCAACCTCTGATCTGATTTCATTGAAGTCTGTGTAAACTTTACCTTTAACGTGTAAAAATTTGCCCCATTCTGCTAAGTCCAGTGTACCTGTAATTACAAAGAACACAAATTAAAATTCACCAATTATATCTTCATTACTAATGTTATGGGCATGAATTCCATTACTGGTTTAACAAAAGTCATCAGATTAATTTGTATACAGAGTTTCCACCACAGTCCTCTAAAAAGACCACCAACAAAAAATTGTTTGTGATGTAGATCAATACTTCGGTGAAAGCTGAAAAATTCATCCTTTCCACATATCATAACCACCTTAACACTGCTATCCTCTATGAACTCAAAAGCAACTGTGTAAACCTTAAAGTACAATAAAATTTCAGTTAACTCATGCAAGCATCCTAATGTTATGATATTCAGTTTGTTGTACAGTTACTGTACATTACTAAACTGAGGATGATAAATTTGTGAATATGTACATCTTTATAGCAACTTAGTTACTTACAGCACATATATAACTATTGTTCCTGATATAGGGCTGCCCCAAGGCAGAATATCCAAAACATAAAGGAAATTTCTCCAAGTAAACTCATTAATTACAATGATAAGAAGGCTGTAGCTTTTCAACTGACAGCCAAAGAGCCTGATATTTTGTAAACTTTATCAGAAGTACTTGTAGTTTTAAATGAAGCAAGATATGTAAATGTAAGACATACAAATACATTTAATTTAGCTTTAGCTTTATTAATCGCCCTGATGACAGAGGCAGTATGACCTCTGAAACGTTGGTTAACATTGACCAGACTACACAGCGCAACAACCCAGAAGACAGAAATCTTCATACTCACCGCTGTGAAAACCTCAAATTTTACATAGCTTTGTATATTTTGCAAAAGCTTATGATGACAAAATACATTTGATACTGGCTGTAAACTACATCAATTATGAAGGAACAATTAATTCGCTACCTTCTTCAGCTGTTCTGCGTTCTCTATCCTCCTTAGGACAATATACCAATTGCAAAATCAGTGGACGTCGAGTAACGATGCCTGTGCCTCTAGGTAAGAAGGAGCAACCCACTAAACTTTCAATGACTGAGCTCTTCCCTGAACTCTGTGAAAACGCAACATACATAACATTAAACGCAGAAATGTCTTGCCTACTACAATATAACATACGGGCCACAACAAACATATATTAAAAGTTGAAGAGTATAGTATGATGCTAGTGTGTCAGCTAAATGTGTACGCAGTACTTTAAATAACCAATAGACAAATCAATAACCTAGCCTTACCCGTCTCCGGCAACGCACTCGTCGAGTAATTATTTCATATCAATATTAACACAACTAAAAGTCCATACGAACGTATTGTATTTTACATTACCTGAGTTCCAACTACTATAATTTGAGGCAACTGAATAGCATCGGCCCCAACAGTATTGAAAACATCCTGCAATTTATTTATTACAGGTATCAGTGCTTCCATGTTCAATGAAATAACATACAGTAAACGAATAACGCACGTAATTTAGTATTTCTCCATTCCTTCAGGATTTCTGTTACACGACTAATACACACAACAATAAAATCCGTTTACTAATTTATAACATCCCCAAAACGTGTTAATTATAACCAACTCTTATTAGAGGTCAGTCATTTGCCGAAAGTTACGCAAGGAAAATCAACGACCACATGCAGGTTAGCCAACACAAAACCATATCCTTCAAACAACAATACTTTTAGAACGTACATAAGGGTAGAGTGGTTTGGAGTACGATGTATCAATGACTTTTGAAGTAACCCTCTTATAAGTGATTACAAAATTAGATATCAATAATAATATAGGAAAAGCGCACAGGTGTGCATAAGAAAGTTTTCCTGTATCTAGTACGTCCTAATCCTTGCCATATTCATTGATGGATTTGGTTCTGTTTTTACATTTTGTTATGTGGTATCTGTCGCATCGTTGATCACATAGTCCACATACACATTCGGGTCCTGGTTCGTGGTAGAGTTTCGTTTTACAAATCTTGTGGTGGTAGCCGTGAACTGCCAGGCTTGTTATTGCGTGACGTAGTGGTTGGTTCAATCCTGATGGCGCGTATTTTGAAATTCCAAGAGTAATTTTCAGGAATCGTGCCTTGACGTTTTCCAGTCATTTTACGTCTTTCAGACTTAGGTTGGACCATGCGATTTCGATTCCATAGGGTAGCAGTGGGACAATTTTAGCTTCGAATAATCTTACAGCGGTTTCAAGGCTAAATTGTCTTAGATTTTTTTATTTCGAGCATCCCTTTGGTAGCTGCGATGGCTCTCTCTTTAATGTGGATCCAGTAGGACTTTGTTGTAGTCTGCAGTGTTACTCCCAGGTACTTAAATGCATTAGTGACTTTCAATGGTTCTTGTTTGAAGTAGACTGTCTCTTCCACAGTCTTACTTCCTCCTCTCCTGAATACCATCTGTACCGTCTTTTCTTTGTTGATTTGGAACCTGTTTTGTTCCACCCAGGTTACTAGTCGGTTGAATGTTTCCTGCAAGTCACTTTTATTTGTCGAGCCTTGAGCCATATCGTCAGCATAGATATATAGCGATGTTGCGGGTAGACATACTTTTGTGTTGTTGGCCGTGGCGATGTTGAGTAAGAGTGGGCTTAGTGGATCCCCTTGTAATACCTCTCTGGTTTGTACAATTTCTTTTGATGTTATGGTGTCGTCAATTCTGATCAGGTTGTGGGTCAGGACGAATGTGCTTTCATCCAGTCCTATCTTTTCTAGCTTTCCAGCGAGCATCTGTCTGTTCACACTGTCAAAGGCTTTTGTGTAGTGAATGAAAATTGTGTAGTACTTCTGTTTTGGGGTTCGGACAGCCTCTTCTAAACCCAAACTGCTGTTGAGGGATATGTGGGTTGGCTATCTTCGTGATTCTTTTTGTTAGTATGGTTGTAAGCAGTTTAAATGAGCTATTTTCTAGGGCTATCCCCCTGCACGAGTTGGGGTCGTCAGTGGCACCCTTGCGTTTGTATAGCATTTTGATATTCTACACTCTCCAGGGATCTGGCACTGGTTGAAGAGGGCTTTCCAAATTTCTATGAGTAGCAGGTAGGAGACAATGATGTGCTCATTGAAGATACCATCTGGCCCAGCTGCCTTGTTTCTTTAGATATCAATTACACTATATTGAGGTACCACTGTATTTGAGATGCACAGGCCAAAATATAATACAGAGTGATTGAAAAATCATGTAATCCACGTTAAAATAGTTACTGATGGTTGCAATTAAAAATAATTTGTTTGGGTTAATAAACATAGAATATTTATGGTACCATACTAGAGCACACATAAATCAAGCCATGTTGTAATTTGCCCACACATTATAGAGGCCAGGTGATGATGTAACAAAGCAGCAGAACCAGAGCTGTTACTGCAGACAGAAAAGGATGCCCATCCACATCCAAAAATGAACAAAACACTGAGAATTCTCAAGCAATGACTTGTGGAAGCTGGAGGATATTACTATGGAAACTGCTTCAGGACTGCCCATTCTTGGTGCAACTGTCTTTACGGCACACTCAACACGAACTACAATTGCATGACATTCATAGCGTATCACTGTGACCTCAACTACAGTATAACCAGGCCTCAGCAGTGTTATCAATCATACAATGGAAATATTTCAATATTGCATCTACTTTTTTGATTCCTCATAGTACAGTAGTTAAATGCTCTAAAAGTGAAGACAATTAGTTGAAGAGGATCTTTGAATTAAAATTAATAGAAACTCAAAACAATTCTGCTATTTGTAAGTGGAATGTCAATTATTTATTGCATGTAAACAGCACAAATAGAAATAAGGAATGTACTTAACCATTCATTATGCCTTGTTCACCCACTGAATGCTCCATATGTAAAGCTGTATGGAATACTCAGAAAAAGAAGAAAAAGTTTCGGATGGCAAACATTAAACGTATAAGAACTTTCACACAGAAATACAAATTATTTGAAATAGAGGCCCTGTGGAAGGACTTCCTATACCATACATTCCAGCCCATTTAACTATACTACAAAATACCAGTACCCACCCAACATCAATGTAAGTTACTTAACTAAAATGGAATGTTCTAGTATTGGTGTGCAATATGCAGCCATTAAAATCTGTAACATATGCTCTTAAATCTAAAATAGCTTGCAACATACAGGTATAACCGCAAAGTCCACAACTTTATAGGCTTTATGGTCTTCTGCTATGTCCATATTAACAAGAACATATGCAATAACTTTGAAGAATACCAAGCAGGCTCAAACTCTATGGCACATACAAATTTTCCAGAAAACCGCAGTTTACATTACTCAGTACAAAAGCCATTTCCCTGTAACAAGGTTGGGATAATGCATAGGCATGCCATACCAGTCAACAAATTTTATCACAGACAAGACCGCTGATATGGACAAAATACAATTCTGAGCCATCAACACTAAATAACAATTTTAATATAAAATTTGCATTAATAAAAGTGATTTATAATTTAAAATATAACCACCTGTCAATATACTTTCTGATTTAATATTCTGTTGAGAGAAGTCACTGCTTCTCAGAAAATGCAAGAAATACCAACCCCAACCTCACATTCAATGAAACACAAATCACTGCAATAAAGCACATTTATAGAAGCCAGCACAAATCTGCAAGCTCGATAAAAGGTGAAAGTGCACAGGCAAGTGGCAGAGCACTGAGGGATGTCACCTTCAGTTACAGCAAGGCCTGACACCAAATGAGAACGACAGTGCGCTAGCCCAATGTTTGTAGACAATGAAGTATTTACCTAACCTGAAATAGCTCACAGATTGATGGCAACTACTGACCTAGCATTTTTATTGTTGTTAAATTATTTTGGTGATGCCAAGCATAAAAATATCAGGAATTAAACAAAAAGAGACCTGGCAGCAGAATATGTTTGTGCGCATTCACAAGCGTGCATAAATATGATACTCAATGGATGAAATTGTGAAAGGGTTAGCTACACAGAATTTAGCAAGGGCAGCTTCATGGAGGGCCATACAGATGTAAATTAATACTAATGGAAATTTTGTAAACGGTAGTTAATCAGATTTACATATTTTAAAATGAAATAGCATTTTTGACAAAAAAAATGCATAATATTGTGAGGGAAATTACTGAAACAATTTTTATGCTAAAGCATTACAGAATAATGAACATGACATCACCCTGTAAGACAGATTTCTGTATGTATATGTGAACCGATGACCTTATTTTGTAATGAACAATTAATAACCCTTTTGATTCTTGTACCATTAAACACATAAGTTTGACACACTAGAGGTATATAAATGATCTCCACTATCACATCACCTGTTTTCAATCTCAGAGAAATCACCTACTGTTACATTAAATGCAGTGGAAATTTGGGAAGACCCAAATATAAATAGTTTTTATGTTGTCTTCAATCACAGACTATATAGAAAAATCTATATTAATAGTAATAATAAGTCAGTCCACTTAATGTCTCTCTGGAGGGCCAAACATAACCTTCAACCCATTCAGAATGATGCATAGAACAGTTACATTATATTAAGCTGCGGCAGTTCTATTCATTACATTTACTAATCCAATTTGTAATGAAAGAGATGTTACCAAATTAATTACATTTACAAATATTAATGGAAATTCATTATTTTCCTTAAACATTTCCCCATATGAACTCTAGGTTTGAGGTTCATACCTTAATGGCTGGTGGGATAAACACATTCCTGCATCAGTGGGATAAAATGAGAAACAAACAATTTAAATGCAGAAAATCAATTAACAATGAGATAATGGAACTTCTCAAATTCATTGCTGAATGAAGGGAAAGCTGTTTTGAAAAGAAAAAAAGAGATATCACTTCACAAACTTAAAATGCACTTGCAATGCGTTCTTATGCTTAACAATATGTGCGTCAGTTATACAAGTTGGATGGGCTTGCAGAAATATCTTTCTAGGACACAATGGGAGTTGTCATATTGTGACTGTACTGTATGTGCTTTTGAAGAGCATGTCTGCACATTTAGTTTGTACAGTGCCAAAAAAAAGTACTCATTACTTAACTAAATCTCGAACAGCCTTCACAATACTCTTGGCACTAATTCCATATTTCTCCAAGAGTACCGTTGCAGGGCCAGATCTTGGCACTTCATTTACAGCCAATTTCTTCACAGTGATATTCCTTTCTTCAGCCACTGCACTAAGTACTGCTTCACCCAGGCCACCTGAATTAAATAAATAAAATTATATCAAAAATATGGTGGAATGAACACCGACTATAACAAGAACATTACAGGGATAAAAATCATCAACATTATCAATCAGTTATTAACAAACCTTGTAAATCAGATTTAGTCACAAATATAAATATAGAAGAAAATACTCTATACACAGGGCATCAGAGACGCTTGTAAAAATGTTAACACAAGAAGGATCAACTCCTAACGCCTTGAGAATGTTCAAGCATTACCTTGTGGGTAGTGGTCCTCAACAGTTAGAATTCTTCCACCACATTCCTTGGCATTGGCAATGATCGTCTCTGAATCGATCGGCTTCACAGTGAATGGATCCAACACACGGACATTGATAGAAGCCTTGGCAAGTTCATTTGCCGCAGTTATGGCCTCGTGCAATGTCACACCAGCACCTATGACTAATACCTTGTCATTTTCAGTCTTCTTCAAAACTTTTGCTTTTCCAATCTGGAATCAAGAACAGTAATGCAATTCAACTACCCACGTCATAAAAATTAGCTCCTGTACAACTCTTGCACGTACATTCAATATACTAATAAAGCTTTGGGCGTAAAACATGATCTATTATCAAATCCATAATACAGCATCCTTTTGTACTGAATGTTAGTTCTTATACAACTGCCATCACTTCACACAACCTTTTTACCAGTTCACCAGTTTTCATATCACATCATGATTTATTTTGAAGCTGACTACTGGTGCCTGTATTTTGAACTAATAGTTTGATTAAAACATAATCATCAGGTTCAACATGTTCACTTGTTCGCATGATTCAATGCACTGATACTGGAAATCCATAAAACTACTGAAGCAACAGGCAAAATCATAGACAAGTTCTTCATTTTTCTATGTGCGTATCCTGTGGCTAAGGTTTGTAGCTAGTCCGGAACTTTGCTGTACCAAAATACCAGATTCTAAAGAAGATAAACTCTCTCAGGATTGTCTGGTATTAGCAGTATGAAAATATAATATTCTATTACCAGAAGCCATTACTTTTAATCAGTGGCTACATTTAGCATCACTATGAAATCTCATGTCATATTACCTGCAGTACTTCATCATTTTTATACAGAATGGCTGTATTAGGTCTGGAAGTGCGAATGAAGCAAATTCCCTTCGTATTTGCAGCGAGCTCCACAGCACGTTCTGTGCTAACCGCATCACTGGGATAAAACACAGTAGATCCTGCAGTCAAAATTATAGATTTAGATAAATAAATTAATAAAAAAAAAACCTAAAACAAATCTTGTTTTGACAATGCATGTTTGACAGGACACAGTATCCCACTTGCTAAGATCTCTTCCTGGATTTTAAGCTTCCTTCTGGTACTCAAGACTCATTAGTCTGTGCCAGATGATGTCTGTCTACCTGAAGGATGCACAAAGAGTGTTCCAAAAGACATATACACAGCAACTTTGCTGGTCACTCGTCAGTAAATTGCTCACCTTTGTCAAATACGCCACAAAGGTAATGGCAGTCATTTTAAACACCTACATTGGGTTTGTTAATTCACTAATGTAATGGTTTAGTTTATTAATATGTCTTTATTTCATTCATTGATGTGTGTGTATATATATCCTTTTGGGGCATCTGGTTTTGTAGATCATTTTTGTCCACAAGGCTGCTGGAACCACCAGCCCCTCATGGCGGTATGCCAGAGCTACTAGCCCCCACAGAGGTGAGGAAACTCCATAAATAACAAGGGCAGGTTTCTCGCAACTGGCAAATCCCTATCCCCAGCCGTTTTCTCAGCAATTCGGGTTGGCTGACGCTATCAAGTCCCTGAAGTGGCATGCCAGATGCACTGGCTCCCTGCTGAGAGAACGTACTTCCCTTCTGAAATTCCAGATGCTTGGTCTGCATCAGATGAAGCCTGTCTACACACTGTAATCACCCTCATCTGGAACTACCAGCCATCTGTGGTAGTATGCCACAGCCACTAACCCCTAGTGAAGTGACCTCTATAAGGCAAGTATCTCACAACTAATCTGGAGAGTCCCCACCCCCAAAACAAAGATGACACTCTCATTAATTGTGCTCAGAGTTACGAGAGTGGGGTTTCATTCTAAATGATTCTGATCTGTCATATAAAGCATCATATTTGGCATTTTAAACAATTTAACAGACAATCCAAGATGCTGGATTTTTAAACGAACACATGCCTGGAATGCTTCGGAACAGGGCGATATCTTCCAGGCCCATTTGGCTAGGTCCATCCTCTCCGATGCTGACTCCACAATGGGAACCAACAAAATTTACATTAGTCTGAGAAATGGCTCCCATTCGAATCTGAAAGTTACAATATACAATTATTACCAATTATTCCAAAAGCAAATCAGAGGTGAATGCAAAACTTTGGCTGGTTGCACATGTTCCCTCGTACGTCAGTCATCACGGTAGGGGACTGGCGTTGATGTGACAATCACGTTTGCAAGTTCAAAGCCCGATGTCCAAGTATATTTTTTAATGTGCATTGTATTTACGGAAACAGAGCTAATCATTAAAATTGTGCACTTGCTACAATATTTAACTAGTGCTGGTTATTGTGATGATGTTTGTAAATTATACTTTTATTCTATTAAACAGCAATTAAAGTAAGCAAAAACTGTTGCAATATTAAATATTTTATACAGTAATGTATGTATTCAAAATATATGTACACCTATTTTAGCTTGTTTAGCACATTAACTTACTGAGAGAATTAACACGGTGAAACCGTCTATACTCATGTTCAGTTTCTCCACTTGCACTTAACGCGCTTCTTAGAATGTCAACAGCTCCGCAAGTTTGCAAACTGAAATTTGTTCAGGTTCACCCACATTTTTCTCCACCCTTCTCCACCACCTTCGATTAATTATACAATGGAAATTTCCTTGTCTGTCAAGACTGTAGAAACTTGAAGACCACAATCTGTGTCAACCCAGTCATTAGACTCGCATGTAATGCCGAGTCCAAGCAAAGGTGAATCAAATCCATGGCTGAAGGCCAAAGATTCAGGGCACCTCATTAAAGATGGCAAGTCTTGAAAACAGCCCTCTAAGGGCTGATATACTAAGTAATATTTTTTGTAAGTTGTGAAACAAAAACAATAGTTTTGGAAAATAAAATAATTTGTCTATGGTCAGATTTGAACATGGAACCTATAAATCAGAATTAAGAAAAGAGTTTTTTTTACCTTTTACTCACAAATTTAATGAGTGGATCTATTTCCGTAAACACAACACACACATTAAGAAATATATTCAGACCTCGGGATTCAAAGTTTCAAATGTGACCTTCACATCACTGTGAGTCCCCTACCATGCCGAACGGTTGGGAAAATGGGCACCCAACCAACGTTTTGAGTCCAGACTCAAAAGTCACTAAAATAAATTCATGTTTTGCTTCAAATCAAGCAGACATATTGGTGTCTTTGTTTAACAGTCATCTGGCATGAATCAATATAGTTAATGGTAGGTATAGAAGAACTAACAAACAGAATTTCAAATGACTGGAATTATGATGCCAGCTGTACACTTACACTACTTCAAGATTGGGACTTACAAAAGTTCAAGTGCTTAGTTTCTGCTGTACATAACGTACAAGATGAAAATTAAAAAGAAAGTCAAATCTGGCTACTCTCGTGTGTGTCTATTATTATTGGTGAAGACAGCGGGAAATCTCAAGCAAGATAAGAAACCAAATATTGAGCTCTATCTTCAAATAAGAGGTTTTACACCTGTTTATAAAAAAGTGCAATGAATATTGTCCGTGTAATCATATTTCAGTGCTTTTACAGTTTTATGAACATATATGTACATACAAATCAAATGATGTAATATAAAAATAATAAGAAAATAAACCTGGTCAAAGGCTCGAGTGAAGAACGTTGCAAATGTTGATACAAATGCGATGGTTCTGTTTCTGCAGGTGGCGCCAATAGCAACTCCAACAAGATTTTGTTCAGCAATGAAACACTCAATGAAGCGTTCTGGGAAGGCCTGAAATTACGTGTTACAAAATCACAATTAGGGAAATGGTTATACACCTGTATAAAATACACAGATTGACTTCTTACAGATACTGAAAAAACTGACAACTTAATACATTCGCTGCCAAAACTGACGTAACACAATTTATAAGAGATGCTTAATATTGCCAGTGCTGCTAAAAGTAAGTCTAACCTTCTTCAACCTGTCCGAGTAGGTAGAGTTTTTGGTGTCACCATCAAGAGCAATGACACGACTGTTGTTGGCTGCGATCTTGGCAAGAGCTGTGCCGTACGCATATCTCGTGGCCACAGTTTCTCCAATCTTGTAGCTGGGAGGGGAAGACAATTTCACACCACTAATATCCACAATTGGGGCATCCTCTTTCAGGGGCTTCTGAGGTGCCACTTGCAAGGGGCCTGTGTTTTTTATAAGAGAATTCAGGTGCTGGAACAACGAACATGTCACAATATACTGTAGACTTCTTTGCAACTGAATGGACTAAATGTACTATACAAGCACACATCCATGATTTTTGCTCACTGACGCATAAAAAATGGAAACAATGATGGCAGAATTATGTATATATCTCAACTGTCACTGTTCCTTTCCAAGATCGATGTATACACTTACGTTTCAATTTGCAGGATTTTGTAACGCTACATAAGCCAAGAGACAGTTTTAGGCTACCATCTTTGAAGTATTTAACAGCTCTTAACAATGACTATTATAATGTTGAGACACACCTTGCTATTGTTTATACATTTCAAGATAGAGGATTATATTTGTTGTTCCAAATTCCCTCAAAAGACATGCAACTGTAAGAATGCTGAAAATGTCCATTACTTCACTAGCACATGCTTCCCCACTTATCAAACGTATATTTTATAATATCACATTTCGAGAGTTGTCAAAGAAGAATGAGAAAGCTGCAGTTCAAGGAAAGCGAAATCAATCTCACATGGTTACAACGTACCTGATAAGTAAATTTCAAATAACAAACTTACCTGAATCACTACTTCAGATTTGTCACCCAACGGTTTGCCGTGCCAGTTTTCCTGGTCTTCAATAGTGGGAAAGTTCTTTCCTTTGTATGTTTTTGCAATGAGTGCAGTGGGTTTTGTTTTTGTAGAGGATGCTTCATGGAAGGCCTGAAAAATGTAACAAATTAATGTGTAATACTTACAATGCAAAGACATTCAAAAAATGCAATATTTCTACACACTTTGACAGCATATGAATTAAAAAAGAAAAGAAAAACAATGAAAAGGGTTCTATTTCAAAATAACTTTCGAAATTTCAATTCTAAACTTCCAGCAAGGCTAGTACTGTGTTTGCTCATTAACATAAAAATTCGTGAAATTCTCTTCTACTATAAAAATTTCTGATTCCCCGTTGTCGTCAACCGATTTGTAGCCAAACAATTGAGTCATAAAACAATGTTGCATCTCGCGCGTTAAGCGCCTGCCTCTCGAAAACTGTAACAGATGAATCGGACATATTGCGTACGAAATACGTATTACCTCTTGAGCTTTCCATATCTGTTTTCAGATTTTACATATCACACATGGTTTAGGTTCTACAAACATTTATTTATACGCAATCCACTCACGTCATTTCTTTACTTGGCAACTTGAGTTCAACCACCCCGAGGAGCTCCAAAAGGAGCGCTCTGCTCTAGTTTTTTAAATTTAGCTACTTAAAGACTGGAAAACAATTGGATATTGGTTGATTATGCTCTACCAAGCAACATTTTTGCATAAAAATACTAGCAAAAAATATACAAAACAGATATTCATGGAACAATTTGGGAAAACCACACTCTCCTATCATAACACTGCTATGAATGCTGCATGATGTGTGCGACTTCTAACACTGTCTGAATGTGAGAGAGGGAGAGTGCGCGCGCACATTTTGCAGTGTCCCATAAGTGAATGTTAAAGGTCAGTTTGCTGAGATCTTGCTGGGCACACATGCACTACCTTGCAAAGTTCCTCAACATCATGTCCATCCACAAGAATTGCATTCCATCCGAATGAATCCAACCGCTTCCAGTAAACATCCATATTGTGCTGCATAGACGTGGGTTCTGATTGACCCAGACGGTTTACATCAACAATAACACACAAGTTGTCCAGCTTATAATAGCTGGCAAACTGCAGTGCTTCCCAAATGGAGCCTTCTGCACTTTCTCCATCTCCAATCAGACAGTACACCCTGTAGAGTAAAAATAAATTCCATTCATTCATGTTTGTTCTGTGCTGTCATAATCCACAATAACTAACAACATAACAAACGCTCCAGGCATCGTACATTCAAATATCATCACAGACTAATCAATTTTACCTACTACCTGTATGTATAACTCAGGTTTAAATAAACGTGAACACAATCATAGGAAGAAAATCAAAAATTACCTGTATGAAGCTTTGTCAAAATACTTTCCAACATAAGCCATTCCACAAGCAACAGAGAGACCCTGTCCCAGAGAGCCAGTTCCAACATCGACAAAATTAAGTCTTGGTGTTGGATGACCTTCAAGGTCACTGTCAATTTTCCGCAGGTTCTGGAGGTCTGACACTGGAAAAAGACCAGCCTCAGCCCATGCTGTAAAACAAAACAACCGAGCTTTACGTCAACATACTTACTACCATTTTCATTCCCACGCAGGGCATTGTGGCAAAATTTTCATTGACCAGCTCTGACTCTAACAACATTGCAATCTTGTTGTGTCTCCTTTGGAAGTGACATGTATGAAATTTTACATTCTGGTACTCATTACCTGCAGGTGTTCAATGTTTTTAACTTTGGAAGTTTTCCTTCAATTTCCCCTTGTTCTGACTCAATAAAAGGTTATGATTCGGGTCCTAATTACAATTCTTGTATTAATCAAAAGCTCTTAAATGAGGCTTTCATCTGGTATGCCATTCACAAAGTGTTAGTACACACTAACACTTTATCCCTAATTTATGGGGAAAAAATCGATAGATTTATGAAGGTTTTCCACACAGCATTTGGTAATCAATTCAATACATCTTTGAACTATAACATGTTGGACATAAAACTGATGATTATTTTATTGTTGTTCGCAGTCTGATGCTACAGTGGATGGTTAAGCATGATAAGACATGTGACTGGTACAGACAAGCTGCAGGGATTCAACCCATCCAGCCTTTCAGTCTACATTTAATTCCAGTGCAGTTAAGTTAAATTTCCATGTCTGCAAGTTCTCTACTGGTTTTTCCAGGTGAAAAATTAATTTTAATTTTGCCAATATTAAAACGGCTACAAATGTCACAGTGCTAGATGTTTTAAAAGTGTTGAAAATAATGTTGCAAATCCCAAGAAAAAGCTGAAACCTATGTTGGACTGGATAATAAAAGAGAATCCTAGTACTCAGAAAGAGAAAAGAATCTGTGATAAATGTACGAAATGTAGCAAATGTTCCCAAACAATTTTGAGAATGAAGCAGTCGCCTCCAGAAGCTCAGAATAGGACATAATGAAAAGGAAGACTTAACCTAACTTAACAGACTCCAGTGGTAGGTGAAAATATAGCACAGTTCATGGAAAAATTTCACATAAGAGGAAAAAAGTGAAGAGGTTCAAATTTTGATGGTTCTTCTGAATTCAACGCCTCAAGTTACAGGCTAAGAATTCAGTCAAGCCAAAATTCAAAACCAGACAAAGTGCTGTGTGTAGTAATAGCTAAAATGATGAAGCAATTTTATGTGTCTGATTAAATAAGCAGGATCATGCCAGGGACAAAATATTACATTTCTATTAACTCGGGAGGCAAAAAAAGTTGATCTTCAGAAACTGACGTTCCAAGGAACACAATCCTTGAAAGTTGCTAAGCTCTCCAAAGTTTGCAGAGTTGTTGGGGGGAGGGGTAGACCTGGGCCAAGGCTGAATATGTGCACAATGAAATAGAAAAAGTTAAGTCTTCTTACCTGCATACAAAATGGGAGCAGCATGTCCCTTTGAGAGAATGAAGCGATCACTCGATGGATCTCTAGGGCTCGACAGTTTGTACCTCATCACATGGAAAAAAAGAACCGACATTGCCTCTGCCATAGAAGAACATGACGTCGGGTGTCTGTAAGCATAATGTATAACGGAAAACTCGTTCAAATTTTGAAATATCCACTACTCAAGCATCACAAAAACATGTTAATCTCACACCACACAAATTCCATAATCAAATGTTCATCAATTATTTTCATGAAATGAGGAAGCAAGCTGATGGTTTGTAAACGGATGTCAGGCAGCTACTTCCCATTCTTAACTTCTATAACAATTTTGTATAGCCCATTACTAAAGGACATACCAACATTTTAAATTTAAGGACGTGAAACTATATTGCACTTACACTGTCCATCTCAGAAATGTTAATGCCTGCTATACTACTTTTCCTGCAGGTAGACATAAAATCATCACATGAATCTAACCTAAAATGGCAAAACAAATTGAATTTTAAGAAAAGTCATTGACTGTCTGACAATTAAGTGGAGAAACGTCATGACTAACATACCATAAACTGCTTCTTGTATCAACAGAATAGCTTTAGCTTTATCATGACTGGAAAGGTTTTCACTACAACAAAGATCCAAAGGCATTCTTTATGCCACACACTACTTAAAAGCAGCAATTAATGACAGAAATAACCTTTTACTTGCTGCCATTTTTCTTCTCACCTACTCAAATATTTAACATCTTAATTTGTATAGACAGTACTTGCACATTTACATATTAATGCAGTCATATCCCTGGAAATCAAATATTAATGTTTTTAGATCACTGAACTCACTTCCCTCAACAGACTCTTCAACACTACAATTTCACAGTCACTAAAATACCTTCAATCACCTTCTTTCCAGATTCATCACACCTCCTCACCACGTGGCCTTTATTTATCACCTATTTTCAACCACACGCCAGTTAAGAATTGGGCAGGTGCCCACTCATAACATCCCATTCACTGCATATTGCCTACTCAAAAAAGTGTCCAACCAACAGAAAAGCCTCTGGGGACAGATATCAAATTGAGGCTGAAGGCGAGACAATCACGGATGATATAGCGCCTATGTATTGATCTGGAGCAGGTGTTTGTTACTTGGATGTTGGCAAAGAAGGAAATATCCCTTCTTCAGGTCCATGTGGACTAGCAGTCTCTGGTTGTCTTGACAGCTGAAGCGGTCCATACTTGTCGAGATGAGGAGAGGCATAGAGGCTACCACCAGGGTGAAAGGGTAGGGCAAACTACCCAATGACCAGTCCCAAGGGGGCCAACCAGTCTACCAGAAGCCTTCTGAACAAGCCACAAGTTATGTTGGCCCAAAGCTTCAATTGCCAGTCCAGAACTCGAGCTTGATATTTATTTCAAAATGGTGCTACAGTTTCTAAATAAATCTGAAAACCTTGTTCAAGAAAGAACATGAATGGGAATAACAAAGTATTCCCCCTGGGCATTTCAAAATTTGCCATGCACTTTCTTTCGCCCATCGAACTCATCTCGTCTGTAACTGAGGAAGCGGGCATTTGCTGTAACTATAAGCAGTTATGATACATGGAATACGACTTTTCGCATTGTAGCCGAGTGCAGAAGTACCAACATACAGAGACTAATTTGGAATTATTGCAATTAAGAGGACACCGTTTCAACTTTTAAAATTGAAAAAATTTAACTTACTTTCTTTCTTTCTTCCTTCAAATTCCCTAAATCCTCTTCAGAACCACCATGGTTCATTGGAACACAAAAATGTACTCCATTTCCCAAATTTCAGGTCACGGAAAAAGGCTCACTACGTGTCACAAGCCCGGCTTACATAGTAACATCAACAAGTTCACTAGCATATCAAAAATGCCCTCTGACCGCAGCTGGTATTGAAAACTCGTGAAATGAGTCAAGGTCAACATCAGGCCACCTTGGCTTCCTTTTATAACCGACTATGTATTCGATTAATCACATTCATATTTCTTCTGAGTTCAGTCCATAATTATGCAAATTCGAACATACTATGCTTCTCTACCTACAGCTACAGCTCTTCATCCGGAACGACTCGAATTCGTGATTTTAAGAGCTGACAGGCAGCCGCCATTAAAATTCGAACATGATTTTAAAACTATTCCAACTTAATTGAAATTAAAAACGCCAAGAATACAATTTACAACACCTTCTCCACTACCCTCGCCTGCAAAGGTCGCAGTAGTGAATCGTTAATGAACTAAGTAGTAATTTATAGAAATACGAAAAGCCGGGTGCACGTGGTCGACATAAGACAGGGCACTGCAAATCTGCGCCCAATATGCGATAAAATTTATTCCTTTACATTTACTGAGATTACACAAGCATTACAGCGGATTCCGGTTAACTGGGACACATCGGGACAAGAACACTTTCGCCCAATTATGCGAAGTTCAACGTAAAGAGTTAAAAAGGTTTGTTCTTTAAGATTTGTCCCAATTAACCGGAATCTACTGTATTTCATTTTGAAACTTACCCAGACTTGCTCGTATCTGTAGATTTAACAGAATCAATACGTAATGTGTTTGCAATATCAGCCAAAAGTTGCAAATTCGGAGCCTTATACTCTTCCCTCATTTTGTACTTCTACTCGACCTGCACTCTACACGCTTTCTCCTCCGGTTTTCTTCAGCAACTTCGCCTTCAGTGCAGCTAACGCTGGTCATACACACTTCAGGGCATGCGCCTTGCATTGATGGTGTCCAAATGTAAAATCATTTTACAATACCGAACAACATTCTTGGAACGGAACTTCCCAAATATCATCTACTGTAAAAGTATCAGCAAGAAAAGTATGTGCATTAACATGTCAAACGATGACAATGGCAACAAATAAACTTGCGCCATTTCTAGTGCAGTATACGAATGTAAATCAGTTTACTGTAGTGAAAGTTAAAAATGGAATCGTTGTACTGAATTAATGAGTTACATCACAACCACCAAAGTAGCCATGTAGTGAATAACAAACCCCTTTCGCGTTCTGCAAGTTCCCGGTTAAAATCATGGGTGGAGAACCTGCAACTTTCTTTTTCGTGGATTTCAAGCTAATTGTGATACTACCTTATACCGAACCATGACTGCCTGTGCTGTCATCACTTCGTATTAACTTAATTATTTTATTTCACGTCAGGAGGGACCGCGCCGTTAACAGAAGCATCGAACATATTCGCAAATTTACAATTTAACTATGATTTAAATTCCTAAAGACACATTTTAATCGCACTATTGAACCTCCAGATGAAATGAACGTATTAAACAGCCGAATTGGTAAAAAAAATTAAACTTCGGGTTCCATAATAGGCGAATAAGGGGACACCTACGTCGAGTCGGACTGCAGTAATTGATCACTGAAGTGTAATCAAGATGGATAATTCAACATGTCTCAGCGTACCAGATCCTTTCAAAGTCCCACTTAAAGGTAGAGAACCATCAAGCAAACAGAATTATGTCTCAAGTTAAATTCACCGAATTATGCAACTCTCTCTCTTCATCTTGGGCAGTGATGACTCCGGAATTGTGTCTGAGGGATGTAAAATGAGGGAGTCGGTACAGATTACATTTTAGACAGTTGGCTTCTTGGAGTGGTTCCGAAGAAATGTTATGCTGTTCATCAGGACACAGCCTTTCCATTTCCTTTGGGTTCAGTATCAGCGCTACTGACCTTCAACTCTGTTGCTATGCTATGAAATAATGCAAGGACCGAAACGTTCCGTTAAGTCAAGGTCACACTTTTTGAGATAATATCGAACCCTTGGTCATTCTATTCAGCCAATCTTCTCAGTACTACAGGGCTACGATATAAAAAGGAAAATAAATTCCACTCAATTTTCTACCTCATATTACTGATTGTTTGGAAAAAACATAAATATATACCACCTAAAATTCACTTAACTGCACATACTTCCTTTGGTATTCATTAAATTTCTCCACCAATAAAAATTACTTTATCAGTATCTTAAACAAAATAATTGCCTGTTGTTTCTACTATCTCTCTGCCACTTTCTTTATGTAAAAAACTTTCATCCAAAAAGTGTACACCAAGCTAGCGAGACTAATATACTATGCATGTAGATATCTTATATTGTCACTCTGCCATGACACAAAAATCAATCTGCCTATATAATCTATGTTATCTAATTACAGAGTTTCTCCAGAAGTTGACAGTTTCATAGAATTTATTCTACTATTCTGGAAAGGCTGCATAAGAGACTGGAACAGACTCTCCAGCTTTCCGGCAAATCTCAATGCAAAACAAAGACACAACATGGCTACAAATAAAGCTATACTTAAAGGGGCCCCTACAACTGCATCTGCACAATATTAGGTTTGCACAGTTATCATTAACGGTGATGGGGCAGTACTGAAGGTTTGCACAGTGACTGAAAAAAACACTAAGCAAGTTTAAAATGTGCTGTGCAAAAAAACTTGCATCAATTTTATTGCACCATGTACTGTGAATATTGTTCATAACTCTTCAGTTGTGATTCTGTCATCATGGTGGGCCATCACAAATAATGGAGTTCATGACTGAATTGACAGAAGTATAATATAGTTTTCCATCTTTATGACAAGTCAATTTATTACAGTTGTTTTCTTTCAATGCCCTCACGTGTTTGAAGAAATATTCTGCCCAGTATTTGATATGCCACTGCATCTGTAAATTTCATATCTTCAAATGCTTGTCCAGTAACCAAAAACTGTAGTGTAGCACAAAGCCTTTTGGCTAGTGGACATGCCACTTCTCGTGGTTCTTTCCCCCCCCCCCTTCTTTTCAGTAACCATTTGTATGAAACACGATTGCACAAAGCATTCATATAGGCCTAACCTCCTTATGTCAACAAAGCTCCATCGTTAAATAGGCTTATATATCGCTTCTTGAACTCCTTCATCCATCACCCCCTCCTTTTCCTTAGAGCCAACAGTTAAAACTAAAATAATACGCGTATTTTTTGTATCCATTTTCAAATTCATGCAACTCTTATAAATCTCTATTACAGAATGTTTATTGATTCGTGTAGCGGTTACGAAAATGCACATTATTTATTATGCAGTTAATATTGTACGTATAAAGAAAGACCCCTTAGTGCTCTAAATGGTTCGCAAGTGGATTTAAACGAGCCACATGGCTGTATAAAATAGGTTAATATTTAAAAGGAAAAAAAAATCGCACATACCCAGATTTCGAAGTGTTGGTTGCTGTGATTGCATGTACTCGTAATTTGTTGGCGATATCTTTCAATTCCTGTACGGTACGTGCTTCAGGTTTATGATAATTTGCCATTTTCTTTTAGAACTGATAGGTGTCCACACAAAACACTAAACTGACTTCTCACTCACACTACCCAGCGTTACCAACTAAATAATTACCACCGAACAAATACCAACCTTAAGACTGCACATTTGTATAATTCCATTATCTAACGCTGTATATAATAGCAGCTATTGGCGGAGGGCAATCAAAGACCAACAAAGTTTGCTCAGTTCTGCTTGAACTTGTATTTTCAAGGCCTGATAAAAAAAAATCTGTAAGGATGGCCAGTTTCCATGAATATAAAGCAGGGGTACTAACCACTCAGCCTTGACACTTAGTGAAGTTGTATCTTCTCTAAGTATAAACTTTAAATTTCTAATATCAAGACTGGCAGTGGTGTGAGTTAAATACAGAACCCCATGGATAATACAGTTACATGTTAATTACTCCTAATGTCTGCCATTAACATCAGAAAAAAAATGGAAATATATGTACAGATAGAGCCAACCACCTGCAGACAATAGATAGCATCCAACATACGTAGCAATATTTCAGTTGTGGTTCACATTACAGAACACACTTTTACAACTCTTGGTATTACCAATTTTTACAACAATCACATATATATAATTCTGGACATACAAAACCACCATTTATTGAAGAACTTGCAGCATTCTGCCTGGCTCTCAGCATAAACTAATGTCAAACTACTATGTGAATAAATAGAAAGAACTATTGGAACCTCTCAGAATGTGACACTTGGCACTGGACGCTGTTTTATGGTTGTAATTAGGTTTAGTAATGCTGTCTTGCTGCAATAATCAGACTTGAGTGTTGGGTTTTGGACCTTGTTCATCATCTGACATTATAAGATACAAGTTTTGAGGACTGGTTCTGTCCTCATCTTTAGGTATAATGACGGGGGCACCTGCACTGGCTAGATAGATCAGGTTAATGCAAATCCATAATAAAGAAGAAACAATCTAAAAGTCTGAATGTATAAAGTTTTACACTGAATTTCTTACATCCTTTGATTTCAAACAAATCTCATGTATTGTCAGATCATATACAGCCCACATGTCATAGCCCCACACTGTGTGCAAATTTAGGTGGCCAGTCACAAATTAAGGGGGTATGTGTGTGCAACCAAAGGAATGTGGGTAAAACACCATCCTGCACATAGTTCAAAAGTTATCACAAATAAAATACAAAACTGAGGAAACAGAACATGTTCTGTACAGTAATGTTCCTGTGGATTCATGCTACATTATGTTAGCTCTGAAAAGAAATCCGATACATTGGTACACTTAGACGATGGAAGATTGTGATGAAATTCTGCTTTCTTAGCCTTCTTTCTGCCATCAACTTGAATGTCCTCAAAGTACTTGACATTCCAGAACTTAATTTTTTGATCATGTGAACAAGAGGCAATGAATCGTCCATCATTAGAGATGTCAAGTGACTCAACAGAGAATTGGTGTTGTCCCACCACACCAAGATGGCGTTGTGGGAATAGATGTGTTGCCCTGAAAATCAAAAGCAACATCTACAATGTGTATGCAAGCTGGACAGGAAAACCCTTCATGTATCAACAACAAAAACTGGCATGGACTTACCTCAGAACCCCATCATCAGCTGCACATACAGCAATATTTTCAGTCACTGGCAGCAGACAGTTGATAGCATGTTTAGGGCCTGGAAATTCATCACTATGATATCCAAACTCTCCCCAGTTGAAAAGGTAGAGTGTCCCTTTTGATGAACCAACCAACAACTTGGTCTCATGTCTCATTATGGCCATACAAGTCAGTTCAGCATCATATTCTTCTGACTGTAATGCCATTAAAATCGTTAAAACATTTTATTTACAATCACAAAAACAAAGGGCTGAACAATGAAAGACCTGGCATCTTTTTCTTGTACTATTCTATATGGTACCCACCTCAGTCACTGAAATGATAGAATAAGACTTTGCCCCAAGATCTCTTTACTCAAACAGCTCATAATCAAAGCCGGAAATTGACAGACACTGTCTACTTGGTGCCAGAGTGCTTTTTTAATGAAGGATGTCACAGCTGTTGTTCCAGACAACAGTGCATTTCGGAAAATATTAGTAACTTCTCTGGGCCTTTCTATAACTCCGGAACACATACCTAATTCTGAACAGGAGCATCTGCCTAGTTTTGAAAAGCCATTCCCACCCCAGTTAATAAACTTCAAATTAATTCAAATCTTGCCTGAAGGTGAAGTCTTCTGTTACGAAGATCTATAGAAGTGATAGTCCCTTCACCACTCGTACAAACCAGATACTTCTGGGCTTCAGTTGTGACCATGCAGCTAACATAATCATCCATCTCCTTCAATGAACAAATTGGATTGCTCTTTCTTATATCCCACACTGGAAGCAACATTCAAATTATACTCCTAATTTATTTATCTTAATGATATTCTCGGATCCTCTTGTAATTCAAGTAGTTACTTCGACACCAGTTTTAAAACTTATGCCTTTCCTGTCACAAGCCCCACTAATCATGTCCTTCTCAATTTGTCCACTGTAACAACATTAGTTTACTCGTATAAGACCTTGTTATGCACAAATTTATAATGGAAGTATTAATTACAGTAGACTCTCATCATTCCAATACAATTATGTCTGCTAAAGTTGCCAGTTTCTAGTATCAAACTGCAGACATGACATGTTAAATTAGGTATTGTTATGCTTTATTCTGTTAACGATATGTTAACACAACACTGCAGGTCTACCTTAAGCAGATGGCAGTTACTCAGCTGATCAAGAAATCCAAAACTGTTACAGAATTCGAAGGATCATTGCATTGAATGAAACCAGTCCCGAGACAGTTCATATGCACTACCTACAAGTGCATCCACTGACGAAGTTAAATGCAACTGTTACTTCCTGGCTCCCAGCAGGAAGCACATTATTAACCACCAAGTGCTAACAGCAGTTTACACTAAAATTATTCACACAAAACTGTAGGTGTGCCTGTGTTAAGTACTGGTTATTGTTGTATGTGTGGATATGGATTGATATACTGTCAAACAGCATGTTTTTCTGCACAAATTGTATCTGAAATGTGGTTTCACTGGGAAGTTTTGGAGAAAACTTCATCATACATTTCCTGGGATCAGAGTTCCAAGAACAACAGCATCCATAAACTTATTAATTAAAGCCACTTCTGAACAGGAAACCTGCTAACAAATTCTGTGTGCTTAAAAAAATAGGGGCTTGGTTAGAATACACAACAGTGAAATCACTGAGGTGCATTGCACAAAGACCAGCATCGTGAAATTATCTTTCTTCCTAAAGAAGCGTGGTTTCATTTGTACAGACAGATTTCCTCCCAGAATAATTAGATTAATTAATAGAGTTGAATCTATGAAGTTCCTCTTCATAATGCAATTTCAATCTATTTAAATGGTAGAGAGAGACAGTATGTCATTGTACAGGGACAGTGTTTTCAACATATCTTATAACATAGGAAAGCATACTTTGTTTTTATTGGGTGATGCTTGAATCATATCAAGAAATCTTGTAGCACTTGGAGGTGTTTTGAAACATCTAGCTCATTTTCATTAAATTTAGTGTAAAAACTGTTCCAATGGAGGCCACCCAACCTTGAAATTTTCCATTTCCTACAATCGGTAATAACACAGAGGATGAACAAAACTGTGAGATCGGAGCAACCTTAGCATCACTCGATACAGTATCCAGAAATTATATACAGCTTCCAATAAGGTACTTGTTTTTGAAAACAAGAACAAGTCAAACAAAGATGCTTATTTCGCTCTGTTTCAAACCAATAACTAAAAATCATCAGGCCCATGAACATGAAGAGTGGCAAGAAGTTAAATTTAACCACAACAAAAAATTACACATATCGGTTATAAGTCAGTACTTACAAATGTGGCAATGGTGTGATCCTGAGGAGTGCACATTATGTTGGCATCAACATTTTCAACAGTCTACCATAAAGTCTCACGACTTAATAAAAAGGCACAATTTAACGTATCATTAAGAAGATACTTGATTACACACTCCTCATACTCTGTTGATGAATTTCTAATGTTTACAAATAACTCAAAATGTTCATAAAAGTTTTCTTGTCTTTATAAATGGATAGTATAATTTATCTATTATACACAATGCACAGAATCATTAAGAATATAAACAAATGAAAATGTTTCTTAATGCAAAGGGCTAAAAGACTGTTTCTAGTCAAACCAATTCTATTCGTCACATCCAAGAAGCACGCTCATTATATACAAGAAATGTTGTATATAAATGAATGTAGTAAAACATGAAATTGACATTTGCTCTCTACAGCCATTAATTCATTATGTTTGTGTTTATTATAACCGAGTTTGACTGTATTTATCTTCTTTACATATACAACAACAGTTTGAACTTACATTTCACTGTTCCACTATCATCTCCTGAAGCCAGCAGATTTTCATCCATAACCAGCAAGCAATATAATGGGTCACTGAAATAAGCAGTGGGGGTTGCTCTTTACAGTTTCAAGTTTAGCCAATGTTACCAACATACACTTTCTGAAAAAACTGAACATCATCCTACAGGATACTTTCAAGATACAGTAAAACCTGTCTGGATCAAGCACTAACCTGTCTTTATCAGAACAAATGACTATTACCAAGAATATGTATAGAAAATCAATGCACAACTACCTAAAACACGAACATGGAAAAGAAAGGGAAAAACATGATTCTAACAGAAAATAATGTGTCTGAATGCTTATAAAACTTTTTCCATTTAGGAATACTATTTCCTCATATAATTTTATTCCACACTGTTATCAGAAATTTATTTGAAGACGAATACTTATAAAATATATGACACTATAAAGCAAAACTGTAGACAGAACATGCTCAGACATTTTTAAAATGTATAAAAGAAGGAAAGAAAAATGTACTTAATTAGCATACAATTTTTATACGTATCTTTGATCATAAACACAAATTACATGCAATGTGACCTGTGCAATATTTTATCCTATCTAGAAGTGGACTGGATCAATGTTCAGGTTGGGTTTTTGTTATAAGCAAGTATTACTCTAACATCTAATAAAGTTCATCCTGATGAATTCAACTTACTCGTGTGCATTTTCATAAAACTGCTTCAGTTTTCCAGTTTTAACATCAGACAATGCAATGGATTTATCTTTAGAAGATGAAAATAGTATCTTTCCATCTTTGCTGAACTCTATGTTTCTGCAAGCCTTTTCATGGACTTCCAAGGTTTCCAAAATTTCAGTCTCTTCAACAGTATACTTGTGCCTAAAAAAAGTCATTGCAATTGTCTGTACACAAAGATAAAACCAATTAAACATTTGGGGTTAGCACAGATGATCCAGAACTGCACTTGTAAAAAACAGGCCAGCACAGTTCTGCACAAGAAATCATATACTGAGTAATATTGCCATATGCTCAAACATAATTATAGATTTTACTTTTATGTTCGTACTAAAGTTCTGCTTCTGGCAAAGACTATAAACATATGGACCTACTGCAAAGACCTACAATTAATAATATAAATGTATTAATATTATTTTCTCTTCTACAAAAATTGTGGGAATGAATAAAAACTCTGATCATTGACAGGAAACCTTGTAGAATTCAGGAACCACTGTTGAGTGCTCTATGGAATGGATCAAAAATCAGATTTATATATTAAATTACTCAGTTTCTATCCTCTGTTATACCAACTCACAGAATCACATCTCCTGTTATAGTAGCAGCTGCAATAATTTCCTCTTGAGGATGAAAAGATATATCAAAAACAAAGTCTTCTGACTGAATATCTGGTGGATGTTCTCTGCATTTCTCTCGTTCTCTTCTGATTGCTTTTACAACTTCGTCCTCTTCTTCTTCCTCCTCATTTTCATTACTTGATGTTGTCTTCCTACAACTGCTGACATCAATTTCATTGGTACTATCACTTTCAGTCATACTGCTTATGCTTACATCATCATCAGAGTCACTTGAAGTCCCATCTTCCATGTTTTCTTCCAACTCCCTAGTAACAAAATGTTTCCTTTTTTAATAAAAGTATTTATTTTAGTAAACTAATGGATAAGTACATCAGCTGTGTACTGTAAAAAAGCCCACAATTCTCTTAGGAGAGGAGAAATCAAAAACATTTTAATTAATTTGTACTATCCACAAAACGATGTACGCTTTTGGTTGCTAACAAAGATGGTGTAAGGAAAGATATCAGGAATTAATTGAATTCAATGGTCTAAATCATGTACTTGTTTCCATACAATTTTTTCTAGGAAAACCATTTGGAACAAGTACATGGGATGCTGATGATGGATGTTTAGAAAAGCAGAGTGTAAGAATGGGTGGTGGATGTAACTGGCTGTGATCTTAATGCCATTGAACCTTTGGGTTCTACTTCCAGTGTTGATGTATTTACTCAGGTAAGGAATTAAACATCACTATTTCTCACACATATAATGTAGAAAGGCTATGGTAATAACAAAAGTCTGTGCTGATCCAACGATCTCCCAATATACCACACACTTGCGTAGTTTTCAAACCCATACAAGCGCTCCATCGAGGATAGGTTATCTTAACATGGAAAGAACCATGGTTTTCTTTACTGAGTAATATTTTACGGCGCTACAACCCAGAAAACAACCACCTTCCATATTTTTCTTTATTAGATATGATACCACGTGCAAAACATGGAAATGAGACATGTACAGTCCAATACATACTTTTACGTTGTCACGCCGTTTGCTATCTGCGTTCCAGTATTGATGTTTTTCACTACTTTGTCAGGTATATACTAAATATAGCACACCTAACCATATCATTACATGTTATAAATAGATATACGAAATAAGCACATTAAATTCGATTTGCGCCTCCAACTTACACGGCCTAGTGACTTCGTTCGTTAAGTTACTAGTTCCTTTCTTTCAACATATTTCCCCGTATTCATTCGGCAGTGGGAAATTCAAACACACTGGGCCTATACTTCTCTCACCAGGTGGCAGAGGGGATGTACGGATGATGTAAAAGCAAAGTTAAAATTAACGCTGCTTTTATTACGAATTATCTTATTATTTTTGTTTACATGCAATACTTTCCAAATCTGATGTTGGGCAATAATTTACAGTACTCATATTAATACATATGAAAGGCATACCATAATTTATTTAAACCAAACTTTACTTTTTGGCATTGGCCAATGTTAATTCCTGTTTCTATCAATGAAGCTTTTTATTATACTTCTACAACAAGGAACAAACTCTCATTCTTCACCTCTTAACCTTTTATTTTAATAAAGAAACCTGCAAACAGAACAAGTCGTAATGCTGTAACTGGAATTCAATATTGTTCCAACATTTCAACTCATAAAATTGTTTTTACTGTTATGCATAATACATGTTATGTTTTTAAAATAATGTTATAATTAAATGTCCATTTCAGGAATTGCAAACTCTTCACAAAGGCTGGAAAATGGATAAGAAATAATGATGGGTTGGTAGGGTTTTAGAAGGAAGTGGTCATGGTCCTTTTAGGTAATGAAAAACCCAAGTCAGAAGAACTGGTATCCTGATTGATGTTCAAACCAGATGACCTTAAATACAAGCAAAGTAAGTATTGTGGTACTGATGGCATGTGTTTCTTTTTTAAATACTTGCTCTACCTGGAATGTTGGGCAGAGCAACCAAACCAAATGCAGCCTTACATCTGTTGTGAATGTATTTTGCCATATGAAGCATGGAAACCTTTCTAATTCCTGCCTTGTAGGTATGTTGCTTAACAGTTCGCAGCAAAGGCTTTGAAGTGGGCTATTGCACTATATACTTTAGGATTGCCCACATTATAAAAATCTGTGATCATACTATATTTATGGTGTTACTTCATAGATCCTTAATCTTGGCACTACATGAAGAAGAGAGCTTTATGCCAAGTTTTTCATCTGAACTACATGGCCAGTCTACTGAAACCTGTTCAAATTAACTGGTGTGGTTTGGCTTATAAATTTCAATTAAGAGAGTAAGTGAAGTAGAATGTTAAAGACATGCAAGATGAAAGATCTTCACTAGTGATGAAATATGTTTGGCTACTTCAACCTATCAATGTTGCTGTAATAAAATGATGCAATTAACCTTATTTGCTTCTCTTAAAAGACTCGTTTCCCACTAAAGGTTATGCTTTCTATCAATTTTGGGCTTTAGTAGATAAACTTGGTATTCTGTTATATATTGATGAGACCTATTAATTTACAGATTGAAGTACACACAAATAACTGAGTCATTAAATCCAGGCATGATCTTGAAGGTGAAATAGTGAATGAAAAATGTACACATTCCTTTATCTCAAAACCATGGCTGTAGTTGAGCAAGGCATTCTAGATTGTACCTTGGTGTTTCATTCAGCGATAGAGCACTGCCCTGGCATGTCTTTTAAATGCAATGATTTTAAACAAATAGGCAACATAACCAAGGACAAAGAGCATGCGAGTCCCTCTCCATGCACATTAACACTGCAAACATTATGTAACATAAATATGAGAACCCATAACTTGTCCAATTTCTTACCTACCAGCTGTTAAGGCAGGTCAGTCTCCTTAAGTATGTGCAATTCATCAACTGTTTACTGTTCAGTTCTGCATTTAAAAGCATAAAGCTCTCACTAATTAACAACCTGAAACCATGCCCCAGACTGTTCCTGCATTTTCGTTTTTAAACTAGACTGTGTTAGGCCTAATGCTAATAAAGTAAATCCAGCTGGATTCTGACGATGGTATAATGTAGATGGAGTTATTGGGTTTGTGGACTTTGTCCATTGTCCAAAAACCCAATAACTCAGAAAATAAATCCAGCCTGGCAGTAAAATATTTTACTCAAACATTAACAAATTTAGGCTTATAGTTTCTGTATGGAAAAAGTAAAAGAGTACAGAAACAGAAAGAATTAATTAACTGACAATTTTAGAAGAACCTAATTTTCTTTCTGCAGGCAGCACCTTACTTACCAATTACAGGTTGGAACATTACAGAGAAATAGCAATTCAGTGCGGAAAGTAGACAGACACACACACACACACACACACACCTTTAGCCATTTGTCATGCACCCCAGAAATTATACAGTAATATAGTATGTACAATGTGGATAGATTTTCAAAGATGGCTTTTCAGTCATATTCATTGTTCCTTGGGTACGTCCTTAAAATAGTCACGGCGGAAGATTTCATTCATCAGCCCTCCTATGTAGGTCCTTATCCAGACTGGAGGGATCACAGTCAGGAAATACTGCAAACACAAAACAGAGTTCAGCATCCTCCATAATATTTTATTTGCTGTTCTGTACTTTACTTTCTAAAGCTTTCTCAATTTATTAAATTATGGTACCAGTGTAAGGATAACTGCGAATGAGCAAGGGCACAAACCACACAATTGTAAAAATCAGATCTTATCATTATACTTGTACTAAAAGTGGTTTACTTACTTCTGCTATACTTCGGACCACAAAACAAATCTCTATTTACAGCCATAGGATCTTCCAGCATCGAGTTTATTTATTTATAGTTAATTTACTTTGCTTTTTCAGTAGCTCTGACTATTTAATACTGAACCACATGGTTTAAAGCAGCGGTACGTCAAATCTGAGTCACTATATAGTGAACAGAGTGTACATAAGTTAGTTTATTGCTTACTGTTCAAGAATTAGATTCTTGAAGATAAGAAACACAATAAAGAAGTCCTTGCTGCCTCCATCATCAGGGCTTTGAGTCATTGTCCTGATGTTGGATGCAACAAGGACCTCTGAAACGTAGGTAAACTTCTATGAGACTTCACAGCGCTACAACCCAGAAGACAGCCATTTTTGTACTCACTGCAGCGAGGACCTGAAATCCTACTGAACAAAATAAACTGATCTGCATGAAGCTGGAACTCAGTTAATATAAAGTTTCTACCTGATTTGTCTGTCTACACTATCCAGAGCAGTTCTAACTAAGAAGGTTACTTTGAATTCATTATATACTTACATTTTAATATTTACTTTGTATGAGAAAGTTCTGTTGAAACTTGTAGGAGTATGAAACCAAATTCCTGGATAAAACTATGACACATATTTTCCTACAAACACTTTCATCGAAATGGTGAGAAATGTTAATGATGCTTTGTGGAAGCCATATCTGTACATAATTTCTGTAAGTACAGTTACCAATTATTTTGCAATTACCAGGCATAACTTGAAAGTTTTGCACAGTCTCCATGTTTGTAACCATCAATACGTAAACAAAAATTTCATGCGTGCGTAGTCCATGATCTCCCTCCATATGAGGGACACTCATTCATCAAAACTATTTTTGACAGACAATTAAAAAGTGCAAAAGTTTTGTGGCCCTTTCTTACTCGATGTTTTTACCAGTTGTAAATAAATCCTTTAACTGGTTCAAAGTTTCTTACAGGGCAACAGATAAGCAGACACTCGGATTTATATACGACATGAGCCTGTCTTACGACATAAAGGAAGTAAGCTAAAAAACTATTAAATTGCGTGGGTTTAAACTTTCACGTCCGGCATTTTAAATCGCCTTTACGTAAGCATTTGTCCTTTTCATTGCTTGTGAGAACTGACTTTGCTCTCACCTGCAGACCATGAGCCCAGTATCCAGTTGTCGCGTTCACCTTCCCCAAGGTATTGATGGCATTTTGTGAATACGTAGCTGCATCTGGCACAAACAAACTTGTCTCTTGCAGGCGATGACTGAACGCATTCATTTTTGTATTTACAAAAAGAGGTGACAGATGCTGAATCGTTATACCGTCTCTCTCATATTCGTATCTAAGCGCTTCTGAGAAGCTTTTGACGAACACCTGTAAACAGATGAGCAAAATCATTAATTGTTCTGTATCATCTTGCATACTCAGTTGTGTCATGAGCGGAACAAAAGTTAGCCCCAATGAGGTTTATCCTTACACCCGAGAGCAGACTCCGTGTGGTTTATTGATATTACGTTAAGATAATGAATGCATTTATTAAACTACGAATTAAAGACGTGGCAGAAGTGAGAGTCAAATAAACATTTTTTTGTCTACAGCCAGAAACTTGTGGACAAAGAGAAGAGCAGGGAGGATGCGTGTCACGTGGATTTGACTTTTCTTCTCTTCATTTGCATAGACGTCTTTCGTAACCAGTTTTATGTGGACAAAGAATAAAGAGACAGAACCTATTTAATGAATGAAGTTGCATTTTACTTCTAATAGCTATGTAAAAATGTTTATATTTAACTGAGATTTATGTTCTTTTACGTTTATATTGTTTGAGAAAACTTTGATTGTCTTTTTTCATTCACATAATTCCGTACAGTATTCTACAGCCTAATGTTTGCAAGGGGTTAGCAGTTTTATATGAATCATATATGGCAAGTATGTTCGAATTGTTAGTTCATTAGGAATTGAAAAAACAATCTTTAAAATACTTTTAAAGATATAAAGAGACACGTTTCACCGTGACACCGGCGCCATTTCGTTGTGCACGTGGAATATAGTGACACAATTGGCCGATTTTTCTCTTTCTAACTCTGAGACCTGGAAATATATCCTGATATATGAGTACACTATATTATTTATATGCATGAAAATATCTGCCATTTCTGTCAGTACTTGAAAGTTCATTTTCTTCTGACGTATAAGACTATAACAGAAAACAAGTTTCCTTTTCACTGCACTCTGCCCTTCCCTACAGGGCGCCTTTAAAAAATAATAAACTTAACCATCCGAAGGCACACAGCTACTTGTTATGTCCTAACTTATAACAATTTTCTCAAAATCTTCAAATCATCATGTCAGAAAATTGCCGTATATATATGTTATAAGTAAAAAGTACAGCTGTCCCACTGTACGCCATGTAGGCGCTTGGGGTGAGAGGATGTATAGCTCCTACTCAATCTGGACCTCGGTACTAGAAGGGGGTGAGAGGCCGCGCTTTACCCTGGGGGGAGGACCACTGGTACCCATTGGATAGGAGACTCGGTGAGCCCCAGGACCGGTCTGGACGCAGAGGCTAGAGGAAAAATCCTCTGCCCCCGTCAGGGATCGAACTCCGGTAATTCAGTCCATTATACTGACTGAGGTATGCCCCTGAATAAATGTCGTCACACAACCTGACCTTTGAAGCTGCATAGACCGTCATAAGAGGCAAAGGCTGGAGCTCTGAACCGGATGACACATTCACTATGGCACCTCGTTTCCGTTTCTGCATCTGTGGCACGATGAGCCTCGTCATCATCGTCGTTGCTCCAATGTTGATATTCACTATGTCCCACAACTCCTGCTGGGGAACTTCGCCCAAGTACATTGGGTATGAATATTGTTTTCCTACATTATTCACTGTTAAGAAGAAAAAATTTCATTTACAATTCATGCTGGCTCAAACATCTCTCCAATACAAATATCACATAGACAAACAAATGATTAACACATAGCAAGGCTATAATAGCTCGTTCCTTCTCTTACGAAGCTTTGCCTTTGCTGGGACATACAACAGCCAATGCCTTCGACTGCAGTCTGGCCGTGGTACAAGGCAATTTGGGCTGTAAGGCAACTCTTGCACGAACCAACTCACTTAGCCGTGAGGTCGGTTCAGTAACGCGCGACGCGACCGAAATCGGCCGAGAAGACAATGAAGAGAACACAGAACACGATCGGTCCACTGAGAGCCGGATTTACATTTGAGGGGACCCTGGGGCAATCAAAATGTGGAGGTCCCTATCAATAACAACAAATTTCAGTCATATTGCAATTACTTATAAATAAACAATAATTAAGTATAAACGCGCGATCGGTTTGCGACGACGATTACCTGGACGCTTATCACAGTGTTTGGAGGCCCTTGTTTTGTGGGGGGCCAGGAACGATTGCCCCGATAGCCACTTCTTGGCTGACGTCCTGGGTCAACCTCATACTTCCCACACAACAAACAAAAGAACTCACACACACTTTACCTAGAATTCCAACTGGAATGTCCTTTAGTTCATGTTCAATGACGTCAAACACTGGCTGGCCTTTGCTAAAATCAGCTGCAATTGTCTTGGTCTTCACTTTGAATTTCGACTCTGCCAACAGAAAAATAGAATTATGTCTGAAGCTTTCACGGTCACTAAGGATAAGGAATTAATTCTTCTGGGGCGACCAGGAAGGAGCGAGAAGCACAAAATGCAAGAGAACACATCCCAGTGGCTCCAACGAATCGTGAAAGACGGAAGGACGGACGCTACTTTCATCTCGCAAAACCCAACAATTCCCACTTGGTTCCTCTGCAGACTACACGTCCGAGTAGCAGAAAGGTGGGAATGATCTCCCGATTTGCACACGAGAAAGGTTCTGCTGCACTAGTAAATCCTGGCCAAGACCAAGAGAAAAGTTCAAGAAACCAGAGTCGTACAAAATTCCCCAGTAACAAATCACAAAGTCACTCTTACGGAGTCAAACTCGTGATTAGTGCAAAGCAGACAAACTGAAATCCTTCAGCCGAGAACGAAACGAGGAGTTTTCGGCAAACTTCTAAGCAAGTTCAGTGTGAATCAAACAAAAGCACGCCACACACAGACAGACGGACGGCGACCCACAAGCTGCGAACCTAATCGTCTACATTGACGACGCCAGAACATGTGTTAAGGCTGCAGACTTCCTGGACAGGTTTTAAAACGTAAATTCCGACTGGCAAAATGCGTTTGCAAGAGATTCACCTTGGTCACGTAATATCCAGTTGAGGAATACTAACCTCGTCTGAGAAGATCAGAGTTTTTTAAGTTTACCCGAGGCTCAAGACGGCAATGCTTGGCGCGGCATTATACGTACGCAGCTCAAATGTCATAGACCATAATAGACTAAACTATTCACATTAGATACAGAATTGGACGGAGAATTAATCGGAGGCTTTCAGTGTACCGAAAATATGCTTTTCCTTTTTGAATGTAGAAAATACATACCAATCTCTGCTGCTACTTCATCCAGCTTTTGCTGTGTACGGCTGATGAGAACGATGTTCACGCCTCTTCTCGCTAATTCCATAGCATACGCCTTACCGATGCCATCTGTCGACCCTGTCACAACTGAAACAGAACACACAAACTTTTCTTTAACAATTTTTTTTAAAGTTTTAAAATAAATGCACATTTACGTTATTTTACCACAAATTTAGAGTGCAGTTTGTGCAGCCCTGGACAATTTTGTTTGCAATTTTTTGTCCCATTTGAAAAACTGTACTTGCTGAAAATTCTACACTCTTTGAACTGTTAAGTTGCATTTCAGCTCTGAGTATTTCTTGTTATTAATTGCATAATTTCCCTCCTTTACGAATAACCTGTTTTGTTGGTATGCCAAATCATCTGTGCAAAATGCCCAGCCCATCACGGCCCACAAGATTAGCGAACCTACAGTAGGTGTTCAAAACGACCACACAGCTGACAGCGCTGCGCAACAATCAGGTAACAACAGAGGATCGCGCGACTTTCACAACACCCAGACAAAAAATGACGTACATCTGTAGGCATAAACCTTGCACACGCGAATTTGCTGTATAATTGTAAGATGCAGTTAAACTCAGCGAAAATGGTCACAATATTAATCTTAAAGTTATTTAACGTTCAAGGACGTAAACCTACAATGGCATCATAAAAGACGAGCCAGTAAAACTGAGATTCTGCTTAAATTAGCATCAGCTTAGTGTTCTACAGCAAAACCTGTATTTTAATTTATTTGGTTTAGGAAAAAAAAGAGGGCGCTGCTTTAATGGTCTTGATTACCGAGGGGAGAAGTGGAACAATAACACAGGCCTACTGGAATTACAAATGCCAGCCTCTCAACACAGAGCAAATGGAAACGCGAAGTCCGGTTCATAACCACGGGTGCGAACTGACAATGAGGACGAGGTCATCAAGCGACTCCACACACATAAATAATAAAAAGGGGGGGGGGAGCACGCTATGAATAATGTGGTGGTTATCTAACTTCGTAAATATGTACTCGGGGCGGCGCTTCAAAGCCAGGTGGACAATGCAAACGTAAATGAAGAGGCAAAACTCCTTTTTTCTTTCTTTCTTAATGCAATCTTCACCTCTTTCAGTTGCGTCAAAGCATTACTGCCTTTTACATTACCCACTTCCACGTTTCTTCTACCGAACAGAAAGCATTCACTATTTTAGGGTCAGTCAACGACTTTATGAGTATGTCACCTGACAAGGCATGCGCAATAGCCTTTCCGCAACATTACATTCGTTGTCATGAAGAATCAAACTTTCCCATGTTAATAGATGTTATTAGCAAATGCGTACAGATTGTCTTCGTTCTGACACCGACAGTAGTTCTAAAACCTGCCCTTTCATGGCTTCGTGCACGGAATGTGCAATGTGAAAACATAACCTCAAAGAACCTGTTTGTCCATTCGACCGTCCAGCCCTCATTGGTCTTCCACCTAAAGTTACTGGTGACAGCCATTTTTTTCTATGGATCCAGTACTGCTCAGAAATGCCATATGCATTAACATTAATAGTTATTTAAGATTTGCTTTTGGCCATATGGCTATATGCGAGCAACGCAATGTTAGCTTCGGTACTTAAGCACTGTAATTCATGGGTACGTGCACTAAAGATATTTTTATATTCGTAAAAATCCAAGGTCTTGCTTTCACAATTATTAGGACGCTGTGAACTTCGCAGATCAATAACAGCTTATTTTGTAATTACCAATAATATTTATTTACTCAAGATAGTCTTATCAATACCAAATATTCTTAACACATGCAATGAGGGTCTAACATCACGACTTAATGCCCGAGGACAAGATCTCTAGTTGAAACAGAAAAATAAACTCCGAGGAATACAGAATATTCACGAAGATGTTAGTTGGATTTTTTCTAAAACTACGTTTTAAATTTACCGCAATCAATTCCATTACTGGTTCAAGGCAATCTATGCTACTGTGTCAAAGGTGAAAGTTGCATGCGGCAATTAAGCTGTTAATTAACCGAACGCTCGATTAGGAAACCGCAGAACATTCCTTTACGTTCATCGGCGAATTCATGAAAGGAAAAAAGTGTATATCGAATAAGGGCTAAAGATGAGCGTCTACGGAGTGCCCCCGCCCGTTGTGGGTTGAAACCTGCGGTGTTGGAATGCGTCTCGGTTAGTTCCGATGTCGTCCTGACGAACTTTTTCATTCCCATCGAAAATTTGTAACTTGTTATAGGAGCATCTTTCCGACTCGACATCCAGAACGTCCCCCAACATTTAAAACACAATTTAGAAACGCCATGTAAAGTGAACGCTTGCCGCATCCGTGTAGGCATTCAACAAATTAGAAATTTCACATGACAACTAGTCATGCGTAATATATGTCACGTACAACGACGCTTTTGTCAATTCACGGTACACTCTGTGCAGCAAAAATTGAGCGCCTGAAACTGGAAGTTATGTACGGATACGGCTGAGGTCGTGAATCGAATCAACAGTAATCTCTTCGTGTTCGTCCAAACGTGGCTTTTCTCTGCAACCCACTAATTAAAATCAGTTATGTCAGGTATCTGTTTCCCAGGCAGAAAAATATGTCCAGATAATTTAGAGGAGAATGTCAATAGATCTGTAAGTGCGTCAAGACGAAGGTAAATACTGCAGAGAAATGTCGATCACTGGACCCACTGAGGTTAGCGCTTTCTAACAGACCCTTCTTTCTCCCCACTTTACCCGATGACGGAAACATCCAGTTTCCGAAACGTTGTGTGTGTTTGAATACCGGAAGATGTTTAAAGTCCAGAAACACAGCAATTTTAAACGTTGTGCACGAAAGTCAGAACCCTTTAGAACTGATCCCCGTTTCATATTCGGGAGGTCCCGCAATTAAATGTTGGCCCGAATACTGGCTATTCTTATTGAGATTTTCGTAGTCTTTCCGGGCAGTGCCTTAAATTAGGCCACAACCTTCCACGCCCTAGTCATTCGATGCTATAGGCTGTAATCTCAACTGCCAACGTCTTTAAATACATCATAATTAAGTAAATAAATACCTAAATAATGTATCAAATTCGTCTGGACGACCACGTCCTAAATAAACCCACTCACTACAAAACAGATTACAACTACCGATAATGAAAGACGATTCCGTCAGAATTACAATTGATAACAACCACAGGTTGAATTTAAGTATAAACTTTAGACGTGACACCCTCCACCATCAACTCCCTCGTATTTGAATCAGAAGTGATACCAAGATGAGAGAAAATGTCAGTGCAATAGTAGATTTTACTATATCCACGACGAGACTGCGAATGTCGCAATTTCATTCAGGATTTCCACCTTCCACAGAGATTAAAAGTAAATGTTCAAACCTGCCCAAGGTCCGTACTTCTTGGTGAGGTCCACAGAAGCTGGTTGAAAGTAGGTCAGATGAGCCTTTGCACCCTGAATTAAATTCCACAGGCTGTCAGCCAGCAACCACAATATCAGCGCACAGCCAACGGCAGCTAATATCCAAACCGTGACGGTCACGTCCGCCATGACATTAGCCCATTGACTCACGCGTCCGCTAGTGCAGCAGCTGACAGACACACTGGACTAAAAATGGCAGCTACGCACAGCCGTTCCTCGACTTTCTCTTCTTTCGTTTCAGAGGTTTGTTATTAGTTTCTTTCCGTTTTTTATGACGCGGAAAGATTGGTTAGCCTGATTATCAGGCATCTGCCTGCAGATATGGGCACAATTATCATTCAAGCATTGTTTACTCGAATATTATCGATCGACTGAACACTATCTCATTTTATTATATCCCGAGATCTGTTATATTGACTTGCCTACATACCATGATCTGACCCAGTAGAGTGGCATTCCACTCTGGCCAACGAGAGTTCGATTCTCGGCATGGGCGGGAAATTTGTCTTCAGCACTTTCCACACTGGCTCCAAGGAGTACTAAGTGCGTAATCCAACTGGAGGCAAAGACGAGGGTGTAGAACTGACCACTCACTATTTTAATTAAATCAAGAAGTAATTATTCTCTGAAAAACATTCTATACTGCAGGTAGCAGCGGATGGCACGGGGCTGGAGACAATCTTTCATACCTCCTGTCTGCATACAATGAATGATGAAAATAAAATATGGTTATGGTTACTGAAAGGAGACTGGTATCTTATCCCATAACAATGTTGTTTCCAATAATGTTAACCTTACAGTAAAAATATAATGGTAAATACAACAATCCAATATACAAATACAATTAATCTTGTACTTGTCCAGTCTGCTATATATAACCAGTAGCTTTAACACCAGGGATGTTAGAAGCAGGAAAATATGGCTGGGATCGAAGAGGAGAAACTACCCAAATGTCAGGTTAGAATTTTTGGCTAACCAACACAATTACAAAATTCAGTCTTGCATTTCCATCAAAACATCAAACAATGCTTTTAACAATAGGTACAAATACAAATTATACTGTAAAGTGTAATAAAATATAAAGATCTAAACATGACGAAATTAACCATCAAAAACAACTGCACTAAAATTGTCTGATAAAATCCTGATGCAGGACTAAAAATCACAGCCGATTGATTCACTTCTACCACAACAAGGAGATACTTTTGGCCGTCTCATCCTGTGTGAAATGGAAGTCTTCAGAAAGCACAATAACTTTTCCCTGATATGGTAACAAAATAATTTCTCATTCCTGAGAAATGCCCTGCTAGAGGCCATTTACGACAGCACAGGACGAGGAATGGGCATTAGAGGGGCTTGATGCCAATACTGCATTATTAAATGCCATCTGGATTAAAGTGTGGCCATGCTGAAAAAGTACTTTTAAAAACAGACCAGATAATATATTCTAAGAGAACAAATAAAATATACCATTTATCATGAGAATGGCCTTACTTTTAAAGAATCTTAAGCTTTCTTATATTCCCACACACAACGAATAAAATGTTACATTTTTTTATATATATTTTCCAAATATATTCCTCGAGACCATGGGCAAAAGGGCCGAAGAATTCTGCACATATTGCAGAAAGAACAAATCCCCAATTTAAGAAGAACTGTCTATTAGGCTCGGAAGTGAAATTTGATCGCTACTGCATTCACTCGTTATTTACTTCAATCCACACTGTAATCCCTTTCACTGCCACTATATATCTCAGTTATATAGAAAATAACACCAAAATCTGGAAGGATTCATTTTAGGAAAAACACTACAAAAAATATATTATACAGAGTTTTAACCATATGCATACCTGAATTTAAGTGAACATCGAAGTCTTAATAATGGAAGCCCATGTTGATACGTACTATAATACTGCTACAAAACAGATACTGAACAGTCTCATTGCCCCCACAGAACTTGGGTTCAATATATCAGTTTCAATACTAGTAACACAGTACTGGTGCCATAATACCATTTCTTACTACTGCTGCTCGGTCCTCTGTTAACGAAATGCGCAGCGTACACATGCGCAATGCACGCACATCTGACTCAAAGTACACGAAGGTGTAACCACATCCACTTTAGTTTCTAGCCGAAGAGCTCGCGCTCCCTCTGATGATGCAGAATGTGACTGCAGTGGCTCACAAGTACATAATTTCTGCCACATTCATCAACACATTAAGAAATATCTGCCACATACAAATTCAAGAAAATAAATCTCTAGTAAGTCTAATCACAATGTACATGAAAGAAACAACCATCATAATCCTTAAAGGCAAACGTTTGTAATACATTTAAAATTTCTAACAGTTTATAACAATGGGACGCTTTCTCCATCATTTCTTAGTTATTTTTCTTCACGCATATCAGAAAAGTGCAATGGGAACAGATAAGCTGCAATTGGTCAAAATTATGCACTTACATGCATTGATTATATGCAAAATGAAACCATAAATGCCATGAAGTAACATGGAATTCTTTTATGAAGTCATTAAGTAACGTGGCTAGAAATAAATGTACATCATCCCAGTACCTTGCTCGGGCAAAACACTGCGATCCACCAGTCAACCACGAGGCGCTCTGGAGGAAAAATAAAGGGACTGCTGGTTTCAACATGTCACGTGATAGCCCATTTCACAGGAACCAGAAGATTAATTAACATGCTAACAAAAGCCCCCACTGAACAAATTTAATAGAGTTTAAACATTCGACCCTATTTTTGTAAAACCCTTTTCAATATTATGCCTGACAATCACAATGTCTCTTCCTCGTAGGTTACCAACTAAAAAGTCTGCAAGTATTTCTAATCTTAAAATCTGTGTTACAAGTCCACCCTGTCTCATCTTCCCTCAATTAATCATCCTAATAATACTTACTTACTTGGATGCTCGGACAACGCGTTCAAGTGCCTAAGCACTGCGGGCCCCAACTCTTTTGTTGGCTTGATCTATACATTTTTTGGTAGGACTCCTTGGACGAGGGATCGGCCCATCGCAAGGCCTCTACCTGTACACAGGGCAGCACAACAGAACGACGCGGACAAACATCCATGGCTCGAGTAGGATTCGAACCCACGGTCCCAGGGACCGAACAGCACGAGGCCCACGCCTCAGACCGTGCGGCCACTGTGACCCCATCCTAATAACAATGGGCGAAAAGTAAAAATTATTGAGCTCAATCCTCCTGTACCTTGTTAACGTGTTCATCTGCTCTACCATTCACACTCTGTATCAGTAAAAGCGTCATGCACTGTTCGATAATGGACCAGAAATGGATAAAATAGTTCACCATGTTAAGAAACTTAGTTCAATGCCTCGTACATTTCGCGCAGGAATTGTAGAAATACATGTATGATAACTTCTGAATGTTTTCACGTACCACAGTGCTGCTTTACTACTATAAGCAATCCGAGTGGTTTTCAAACATGATCCATGTGCAGCAGAGACGCACGTTATAACCGAGCAGCATACATATAAATATTTATGGCAGAAAAATATAGATGGCTGGCACCACTACGTAGCTAAATCATATACTGGGGAACGCGAAATTTTTATTGTTCTGGTAATGGTTCCAACTTGTATATTTTGGTGTCTGTGAAGAGGAAATGGATGAAATTCCTGTATGTTTCAGCACGCTCTCTTTAAATTTAGTAGAACTTCAAATCAGTCTGCATTAGAGTCTGCATCTGTAATAAGAGTGTTGAAATATATTTTATAATATATTACATCAAATTGGTGATTGGATTTTGCTGGCAAAGGACAGGGACTGGTGGAGGACTTTGGTTAATTTGGTGATGAACCTTCATGTTCCCCAAGCCAAAGAGCGAAGACATCAATGAATGCAGCGGACACTTCCAACACTTAACACAACATTATTTTTGGTTTTCTGATTCCAATGTAATTTAACACGTGTCAGGAACGGACTGCCCGAGTTTTTGATCACTCTATAACGTTTTGGTATGACAAAAGTACGCGAGCATGAAAACATGCCAAGGAACGTAGTGAATCCTCAGTCCCCTACTCAAGAATCATGGATGAGTGAAGCACTGAACTGGCATTGACCTCCTTCTAAGAGAATACAGTATATATATGTGACTGCAAACTACAATTAACATTACTGGACACATTTTAACTGTTTTCATTTTAGCGCAATTGTAACATATGGTTACAGAACCACAACTAATTATGTACCATTTAAATAAGCTGAGCACTGGCCAAGAGACAATGAAAGTGACATATACAAGTCAAGAAAAAATCAAAGAGAGCAACAGCCAAGAGCAAAATAAAAATTATGTAAGTGCTAAGAACTAACATGAGTGCCATCAAGTCTGGCCATGCTGAGGTGGAAAAGAAAATTATTGATGAGGCACACAAACAATTGAAAGACATCAAAACGGTGGTCAAACAACAGACCCAGAAACACTGAGAGTTCAAGTGCAAGTTACAAAAGACGTGGCGAGACGGTGGAGTTGCACGAGAACACATCAAAGTAACAAAAGTCATACTAGAAGTGAATCAACATGACCTGGAAGCCACACATCATCTGAGACACAGATGACAGCACATTTGGAGGAGGTGGAAAAGCAGGGACCAACAAGACGGGGTTAAATCCCCAAAGTTCGATGGATCCACCTCTTGGGCAATATTCCACAGCCAGTTTGAGACCACAGCTGATCAAAAGTGGACATCCTACAAGAAGGCCATAAATTTGCACGAGATTTTGCAGAGACAAACTGCCAAGACACTACGCACTGTTCCAGCCAGTGACATACAAGGGCATCATCGGGGTTTTGAAGGGCTGTTACGGAGTTCACCAGCTGATCAACATAATCAGTACAGTGACTGGCAACTGGGGTTCAATCACACAACAGGGGCAGAGGATTCTTGTTCTAGCGTCTGTGTCCAGACCAGCCCTAAGGCCCACTCAGTCTCCTGTCCAATGGATATTGAGGTCCTTTCCCTTTTTAAAAACAGATTCTCTATCACACAAATCTAAAAGAAATATGGCAATAATTTTTCTCTTTCCTACATGCAATTATTATAAAAACAAATGCTTTGTTGAAGCATTCATGTTCTTATTGCATTTTCCAATAGTTTAGGTGAAAATTATTTTACCTGAATAAAAGAAGGTTATCACTTGATGCAGGACACCGCTTTCTGTGCAGCTTCCTCCAAGTCAGAGGCAGACACAATGTCAAGGCCCGAAGTTGACAAAATCTTCTTTGCTTCATTTACATTTGTACCTGAAGTACAATTAAGAAATCAATAAAATAAAAGATGTACCCATCTAGCAAGATAAAATAATTGCACCCTTAACATTCACATATCTGTGGTTGTCACGTACTGTTACAAGAAATCACGAAACCTTGCCAAGGCCATCCAGAGAGCGCCTGCAGTAAATACAGAATTTTATGGACCTACAATTTCATCTGATGGAATATGATCACATACTTGATGAGGGGTGCCCACCCCTGCATTATCTGTGCATCGAGCAGAGAATGCAACTTTATATATATTTACTGACATCACTATTATGCTTTGTTCATCAACCAACAGCATTGTTACGAGCTAATTCTCACCTTCTAAACGCACTATCAAAGGAATATTTAACTTGAGATTTAATGATGCATTTATAATTCCATTTGCTATTGTGGCACAGTTGACAATACCACCGAAAACATTCACTAGGATGGCCTTCACATTTGAATCTGCAACAAAGCAAGAAACAATAATCAACTACAACATAAATTACATACTGCTATATAAATTTTTGGTACGTAATAAACTTGAATAAGAGATTCTGCAACTTTTTTGAAGTACCAAATCTGGGTAACATCAGAGGGTAAAAAGTGCATTTTAAAAACTTTTCTCTCTGACTTAAGATAATATATGATTATTTGAGGTAGGAAACAGCTTCTGTGTTCCATGTAGTCTGGTAGAAGTATACCAATGTTTCAGAGGTGCCTGCTGCTTCCATCATCAGGGCCCAGATGCTGGAAACAGCAAGCAACTCTGAAGCATCAGCAAAATTCTACCACACATGCACAATGTCCCACAAGACAGTTGTCTTCATACTTGCAATCATAAGAACTTGAAATCTTAGCCAATTGAAAACTGCTTTTATGCTGCTGACTGAATTTTTTAACTCGTAAAACATCAGGGGATTCCTTGTAGATTATCACATTTCTGTGGATATAGATTGTGAATTGCTGCTGTAGATTAAAAAACAAAGAATAAAGCCTCTCAGTTTTGAATGAAAAATGAAAATATACCAATAAATATTTATGTGAACTTCGCTATAATTAAAATGAAGTACAACAATTCTCTTCTGCTGAAGACTATTAGAAATCTACGCACAGTCATATTTCAGCACTTCTATTTTTTCTAAACTGTACTGAAAAGACAAAATCTGAATAATACATGACCTAGGAAGATGACTGTCCTCACCTACTGGTTAGAATCTTCACGAACAGAACACCAATAATCCTATTCTTAAATTGCAATTGCTACGCCACAGACAAAACATTGTGTGAGGCCAACAATGCACGTCTCCTCGAGGTTACTACAATCTTAATTCTAATAAACAGACACATCCTTTCCTTCCTCTGGCAATTTTTCTTCTCTAAAAATAGAATGTATATACGAAACACACCACGGGTAGAACACATTATAATGAAAGCTCTCATGGACGAATGTTGTTTTTTTCCTGTCATCTAAGATCCTCTAAGACAGACTTACTTCCACTGCAAATATATCCTCAAATACTGTTCTCTGATGGTATATTTAAATACATAAATAGTGTTCATTCATTTAACCTACGCTGCAAAACGACAATTCATGAATAAAGCTTTAGTTGTCTTAGAACCAACTTAAACTGCAATAAGACTTACCTGACATCAAAATCTGGAAAGCTTTAGAAACCTGACCTTCTTGAACACCTCCACCTACATCCAGAAAGTTGGCTGGCTCTCCACCATGCAATTTGATGATGTCCATAGTGGCCATAGCAAGACCAGCACCATTCACTAAAACAAACAAACAAACAAGGCCTCATCTGGAGGTGTAAGCTTTCCCATGTCATTTAAATCAGCGACATTCCGATGTTCTCAGTTCAGCTAATTAAAATTTGCTTAATGTATTATGGAAATGCAAGTCAAATACAGCATAACACATTTTAATTTACTACATGACTGTACACTGGATGAAGGAAAGGAAACAATTACAGTTCATGGCAGAAAAATGTGTCCATAAAGTGGATAAAAACTAATATAACTTCTTCACATAAGAGATTTAAAACCCTGGTATTTCACATTGGTTACATATACATAAAAGAAATTTTATATGAGAATTTAATAACAACACTTCAATCACATTTTCATACACTCACACATACACGTACATGGACAAACATAAAATATGCTCCAAACCAAGAGAATGCAAAGCGATATTTATATCAGCTAACAAATAACATTAATCAATGTTGCAATGATTTCCAGCTCTCAAAATATGTTTTAGGTGGGCTGTTTCAACCTCGGAGGTAAAATGAGGGTCCCCTTTCCCTTTGACAGGGGTCAAAACCTTGGAAGCTTCTAGGAAAAAAAGGCTTGGCAATTAATGAATAAACAAATAAATAAAACCACTTTGCTGTAGACCTACCAAGACAGCCAATATTGCCGCGCATTGGAATGTAATTCAGCTGTGCTCTTGCTGCTTCTACCTCGCGCGGATCAGTTCCTGACACGTCTTCCAAACTGAAGATGCCGGACTGCCGGAACCGGGCATTGTCATCAAACTGAAGCTTAGCATCCACAGAAATTACATCACCTTTGTCTGTCTCCACAAAAGGATTTATTTCCATCTGCAGAGCATCAACACTTTGGAATAAGTTCCACATCTTTTTAATCTCTTCTGAAGCCTGAAAAGAGATGAAAATACAGACGCCATTCACTGACTTACCAAAACAAGAATTAAAATGAACTTTTCACACATATAATTTGAGCATTTTAACGTTTTACCCAAACATGCACGTAACGTTCTGACTAACGCATATTTTTGTACTGTATATAATGAAATATATCCACTTCTGGGTGTTCTATAGAACAAATTTAAACTGAGACACACAGCAAACTGAATTAACTCATGCCTCGGCACTATCGTCACGCTATGCTGGCTTCTCACCATAGAGGTCCGGTTTCGCTCCTAGGGCAGACAAAGTGGTGTTGAGGCAGGTTTCTGTAAGTCCTTCAGTTTTCATCCACCAGTGTCATTCCACTGCCACTCCATATTCATTCATGTCTCATCTGAGGGATGGACAATGGGCCCATTAGCGGCCACAGTTGCCAGAGATGTAGTCTTGTCTCATTGTAGCAATAAAAGAAATGGTCACACTACACAATTACTTTAAAATGAAGGGAAATGCATACGTAGGTAATGCGGACAAAAGTCACGTGTGATCATCTGCTAATATTTTATGGGTTGAGGCCTTCTGGTTATGATGCAAAGCTTATTAAAATTATACTGACTGTAACAAACTATTGCACATTATAAATGAATACCTTAATTTTCAAACTGCCTTCAAACTTCAAAAAATCTGCAACACTTTCTGCCACGCTGTCAGTCACACCATCCGAAACATCCACAGGTACAGTTTTTATGAGGTGGGGAGTTCTTTCAGCTACATTTTCAATGTCTGTTCCACCAACAGACGAAGCAATAATAACTGGACCATTGAAGCCTCTAGTTCAAAGAGAAAGAGTAACAGATTTTTTTATAACGATATATGAATACATAACTGGCAAATCTGTCAATACAGAGTAGCAAACAATCTGAAATACAAACATAACTGTTCAAACATTATGAATATATTTCTATAACTGTGTATATTTGCTCTCACATTCAAACAATTATTCCACATTTACAAACATCCAGTAACAATGTGGCAGGACGGGGAAATCGTAACTAATCCATGGAACAAAACAATGTTTAAATACAAAAGTATAAAAGCATGTTATGCAGAAAAGCAGGCCAGTAATGTTATTGTTGAAAATAATATTCCATAATTATGTGGAAAATATTTTCAGATTGTTACTAACTAGCTGAACAAGAAATTAAAAAGAATCACTTAATAATATATATATATAAAAAACTGAACCACCACAGATTCATTTTAGGAGGGAACTAGCCATCAAATTAAAGAATATTAGTTCTAAATTTTGATAAATGCAGGATATCTATTAAGAGTCAAAAGTCCTCACAAACAGAACTAACCTAAGACTTAAAAGCTAACCAGAAAATGCAGAAAGAATTCTGAACCAAAATGACAAAAACATTTTGTACTTTATGAATAGTATGCATAAAGCAATGTGACATAACAAATTCTGGGGGCGCAGGACAAAGGAGCGAGGGAAGTAAAGACCAGTTTAGCCCATTCACAAACAGAAACTGAATGGTTCTGACAGTACATTCAAAAACAATAACAGGCAGGTTCAGGTACAGTCAGAGCAAAGTGAGAGACTCTGATAATGACTCCCCAGAGAATGCCTCTCAGATATCTTCATGTGAAATCCTGTTATGTTCACATCATTTTACACATTTCTAGACCTTACGCCATGGAGTTGTTTCTCAACTTGTCACAGAGTGTCGCTGGTCCACAAATGTGTTATGTTATATATATTTGAACACGGTAAAAAAAATACATTTTACAACTAGCACATTTCTCTTCACAAAGGACACTGGCTACCATTTTGTAAAGATATACTAAGAGGGAGGAGAGTTCCTCTCTTATTTCACAGTCATCATGAAGACACGTGCATACACAAAGTAAGGAACCCGTGTAATGTAGTACTAACCTGTCCATTAGTATACATATGTAGGTCTCCCGCATTATGTTCACTGATTCAGCTATCATCACCTTCTTTACTAAAATACCTTCTTTTGGAGTTTGCTTTGTTATTAACCTATGTCCAAGCATCTTTCCAACAATGTCCGCCACCTTAGACGAGCTGAAAAAGTATAAACTGCAGGTTACTGGTTAAAAGAATATCATAAGTGCAAGATGTCTATTTCCCAGTTGAGGGCTCTTCAAATTACAACTTCAAACGAGGTCACAGAATAAAATAAACAATTTTGAAGAAACCACTTGAAACCATTTAAAATTCATACTTGACACCGTACGTGTTGTATGTGTACCAGCAGTCAATCACCCTTTAGCACATATTCAAAATTTTCATTACAGGTAATCGTAAGATTGAATTAACAGAAAGTTGTAACTTTTACCACCACTTCAACCTTCTAAATCACAGATGTGCTAATGTACCTTTTTTGTGTAAAATAGTGGAAAACATGGGTTATATAGTATGCATGAAGAGTTGGTATACCAGAACTGGAAATGGCTATTTTATATTCCTATGTATGAACTGGTAAACAAATAAAAATCAACAATGTTAACAACTACACAGCGGGAGTATTTCTTATCCTCACCAATGTTAGTGAAAATATGGGATTTAATAGGCTATGTGTTAGCCAGTGATCACATCCGTACAATGCTTACTGCCCACACATTTCAATACGGCAGTCTTATATTTAAAATGTTCCTTGAGCTACCATCCTATTAGATTGTTAAATTCGTGGTTTACTGCATTCATAATTTCAAATTTGGGAAAAATAGTTGTCCTTAAAAATTATAATGCCACTTTACTCAAATCTAGGACTATTCAGGACATCTGTTCACATTCTTCTTTTGTAATAAAAGCCTCTGGGCTCTGACACAAAATTAAAACTGCAGCCATCTGTAACGGCACCGTGTTTCGAAAGATGGCATACTGCAGACAGATAACCTGCATACACAATAGAGTGGAACCGTGATATCCCTTGGAGTTAAGACAAAAATTCAGAAAAAGTTCTGACACATCTGCGTGCATATAAAATAAAGGAACCTAATAAAATGCTAGTGTAACAATGATTAATATCCGAGTATTATAATTTGGTTCACGGTAATACTGCTTAACCAACTCAATGACAGATACTCAAGTTTCTGTCTAGTGCAAATGCTCAATGCAAGTCATCTATCATGGCTAATTTTCTGAAATCTGATTTGAAAGTAAATATAGTATCTTAATTACTATTACAGTGGCAAAATAGGACTGACAAATTTCAGAGACATATTCCTAACTGGAAATTGTTTTAATAAGTGTGTCTTCTAAGAAACATGTCTATGTACTTACTCTTTTGTAATGTGTACTCCACTTTGAAAACCATTGTCAAAATACCCAAGTCCTCTACCTCCTGCATGAACTTGTGCTTTTATAACATATTCATCCACTTCTGAAATGAGAAACTAAACATAAATAACTCAGTATGTACGACCAGCATTACGGAGCACTGAAGGGATCTGACAGCTGTGCTAGAGGCACAATACAGCCAAAACATTTCCCCGGTGTTGGACACCACATTTCCTAGACTGAGCAGCACGGCTGCCGAATATCTTCATTCAAGTATCATAAAGATCTGCCTGCTTAAAAGTAGTCATGCAATTGGCAGCTGGGAACAAGAAACATGGCCTACAATGCATTCATAGAGCAATCCTGTGGAACAAATCTTCAGACTTGCAAGTTTTCCAACCAATCACATTAGTCATGAAACTGAAGTTAAATGTTGCCAATAAATGACAATTAAACTTCCAAACTGGGACACGGTGTTTCAAGGAAGATTATCTTGTACCATGGACTTCTGAGGGAACATCCTGATGCCCAGGATTTCAGTTCTACACACCCACTGCTCGCACTGCTAGAGAACAGTCACTAAATTAAATTGTGTGGGGGAAAAAGTTCCAATTATTATAAAGTATCTGTGCAACTGAACGTAAGTCATTTTGGTCACACACAAATTGAACCAACAAGACTGGCAACTGAATAATTTATAATCAATTGTTATATTTTAAGTTTGTGAGTGGTCGTGTGTAGCAATTCTTACAAACAAAAAACCCATTTGCAGTTAATAATAAATAATACAACAATATTTGTAACATTTATTCATCATCTACGGTTATCTTCAGTGTTAAATTCCTAACAATGTGTGTGTGTTGTCAAACCAAAGCTTAGCCTTGCTTCACCCAAGAGTGCCAATAAATCACGTAACTATAAAGTAACAGCTGTAACGCCAACGCAATCGCCCAACACTGCAGTAGTGCTGTCTACAACCTGATTGTAGGTCTGATCATTTCCCCACGTTAACCCTGAGGAAGAAATCCATGCATTCATCGATTCCTTTATTTTTCCATCCACACCAAACAAACCCACTAACCTAACTACACCAGCACCCAACCGCAAGGAAATCACTCCGAAAAACTCACCAGCTTCAATGTATCATTGAGAGGCACCAACAGGTATGAAGGCTGTGTGATGCACAAAACTGGACTGCTGAAAGGATTATGGTTAGATAAACACACAGTCTTTTTTATTATATGGAGATTTACAAAAATTGTACGTGTTAAGTTGACCACATTTTAATGACTGAAGTGTGTGTGTCTTTGCCATTCTTGACACACCAAAATTTTTTTAGTACTGTTCCAATCTTTTCATCGCTACATTCACAGTTTCAATTCAGAAGGAAAATACTGAATACTGCCTAAATAAATCAAATAAACTTACTTACTCCATGGAGCCGAGTCCTTCCCGAGAAGTCAACATTTGCTCGGCCACACAAGAAGTTCCCAACATTTTACGGAACCCTGAGGTTCATTACCGTGTTCAAAAGAGCCGCCAGTGATCCTGAGCCAGATAAATCCAATCCACACCACCCTATCCTATTTCTCTAAGATCTGTTAAGTTTCTTTAATTTTCAAACATCTATGTAAAGAATAATTTGAACCATTTTCATAAAATCCATGTACTTCTTTAAACAGTTCTCTATATAAGATTTAAGGTTCTTACAGTAGCGAAGATGTATGTGGTCTTCTGAACAGTGACACCAAGCAGTCTTGTATAGTTCAGAGGAATGTATCTTGAAGATGAAGCACACATTCCACCAAAATGTTGGTAACCACCTACAAGGCTACATGGCTAAACAACCATAAAACACGATCAACAGGTCTTCCGTGTTGTTTGAAGTTAAAGCATTAGATGAAACTTACTTGAAAATTATATCAAATAATTATAAGAGAAATCTGAGAACAGATGCTTTGGCGCCTTAATGTTAAAGAACCACCACCAAAACCTTCATACTCACTGAAATTTTCTGTAAGGCATCTGACTTCTTCTAAATTTTCAACAACTCTGAACTTTTGAATGGCTACTCCACTTGACTGCAGAAGAGCCTTGCTCTGATATTCTAACAGATTTAGGTATCGTACATGTGTAGCTGCAACCTGCAAAAAATTAAATTCATCATACTGACCAGTACTGCTGTTTCTGTAACTACAGTTCAGTACTGTGGAGTAACGAAGCGAATTTCTTCATTAAGGGTATTAGTTTGTCAATAACGGGACAGTAGCTTTCACAATCATAATTATTTTCAATCTTTATCTATGAAGACATTATTTTTATAAGCACCAAAGTATATATATAACTGGCACAACTCCTCCTTCACTTTGCCCCAGAGTCATTAATTTACCACGTGAATGTGCGCTGCTATACTTTCACTCCCTTATGTCTGTATGGTGTGATATGTAGTTAAATTACCAGGGACAACTTTACCTTTACAGGATATGCATTGATACAAATATATCATTAAAACAATAATGATTACAACCTCATTTTTCTTAGATCTGAATATGTTATCTGCTAAGTCAGAGAAACATGAAAGAGTAATACCTCATTCATCCCACCCTAAAAATTATGCCAAGATAAAAAATAAAATAGACAGAATTCTCCACGTCAC